ATGGCAAAATTGGCTTACATTTGTATTTTGATCTTTTAAAACAAGAACAACAGATCTAGACTTGCCCTGTTTCTTGTTGCTGTATATCATATTTGTTTATTTGTTCCTTGTTTTGTTTATAAATCATTATCAGTCTGTTAGTTTCCTCATTTGCATTATTTTACATTTGTCATTTCCATTAAATGTCTTTTATAGCTGACTTTCTGGTATGGGCTTTGTTCATTGTTGAAGTCATCTTGTACCATAACTTATACTTGTTAACTTCTATGTCATTTGATCTCTTGTGGAGAATTGGACTCTTCTCATTGGCAATCTTACCACATCTTCTTATTTTTATATTCACATTTAAGTAGATGTAAAGTAGACCATTCATGCACTCTAGGGTCCACTTCTTATATGTACAAGGTGATAAGACCTGTCGCTGTAATAGCCTGGATCATATTTTTCAGCTTAAAAATATGTGAATAGGTGTGGAAAACTATCAGAAGTATAATACATGTACAAAAATGTATGATAAGGCTGAGAATTACTAGATGTTTATTGTTATAGTACTCAGTAATAGTAGTCTCAGACTCAGGATAATTAAGGCTTATTGTACTTGTCATATGATGGGGGGTAGGAGGGGTCCTGATCCCGAAATCCCGGGCTTAAAAACATGGAATCCAGAGGTCCCGAATTTAAAGAAATTTAAATCCCGACATCCCGAAATTCGAAAAAAGAATTCCCGGATCCCGAAAGGATCAATCCCGAAATCCCGAGCTTGAAAACACCCGATCCCGGAGTCCCGATAAAGGTCCTACCCCCCCCCCCCCCCCCCCCCCCTCATATGCAAAGCCCTGTAATTTTCTTACATTTGTGTAGTTGCAAGTCTTGTTTTGCCTTAAGTTAACATAAAATGAGGAATTTGAGCCTCAGCTTTGAGCTTTAATCAAATGTGATGATTTTCTCGGTATGCCGGAATGTGATTCTTGTCCTCTCCTGCATGTCCTGGAATCACTCATAATTGAAATTGGGAAAAGGTTACATGTACATTATTATCCACACTATGTATGAAAAGGTATATACATTTTTTAAATCTAAATTATATGAAAAGGGGGGAGTAATTGATCCCCCCAGGGGCACCCCTATCTATTAAGTGTAAAATAGCTATTAAATGCTAGAGAGATAATAAAGTCGTCTACAGTTTCATGGTTTTAAAACAACTAAAAAACAAATACAAATACCACACATGTATCATAAGATCAGGGCTCGACATTACCGTTTGTCCGATTGTCCGGGACAAGTGGACACAGGCGTCGGGCAAGTAGATTCACCATACTACTTGTCCGATGGGACAAGTGAAAAATCGAGGTCAGATGTAAAATAGATCAAATTCAAGACTTATAAATTCCCAAAAATATGAATGATTGTTTTATTGATCATACTAAATGTAATAAATATTCATTGATTGAACCAGAGACAGATAATACTTGTATAATATGTCTCTGATTGAACGTATTTGGACATGCTGGCAGCCATTGACCAGGGGAATATAAATAAGGGGGAAAGAAACCAATGTTAATGCTTCTTCTTAGTATAAGCCTCCTTGAATTAGGAGCTCCTCCATATGGAGTGTTACCACAACTTTAAAATTTTAAATTAAAGTACGTTTCATTTGATTTTGCTTTTATGCATAACAATACATTAAAAAAGGTTTTATTTAATAAGATCTATATATAAAAATAACAAGTTAAGATGTAAAAATTAAATAAAATCTAAAAAGGCAGATTTTTTAGTGAAATGTTTTATGTACTTCATGATCATATATCAATGTATATACAAATCAAAATAATTTGTAAAAGCTTGTTTTGACACCATCAATAAATTAAAAAGGTTTAATTAATCATATACAAGGTGGCCAGGTGTATTTACATCTTTGGTTTAACCCATACCACTACTACAGAATGAATAGGTCCATAGGGGAACTTAGTGGTTTGGCAAGAAATGATGATTTAATGATCGATACATGATAGTGACATTGAGTCAGAGAACTCAGTCTTGCAAATAATCTTTTAGTCTGAAATAATAACATGAATTTTGATGTGGTATTCATATAACATAAAAAAATGCTCCCTTTATTAGGTACAATCAAAACGCAAGTGTTATTATTGCATATCATCAATATGTAAGATTTTAAATTAAGAATTCGGACAAGTGAGTTCAGAGTTCGGACAAGTTGATTTTCTTGCAACTTGTCCGAAGGGACAAGTTAGAAAAAATGATAATGTAGAGGCCTGAAGATATACAGGTCTGCATCAGTTAAAGTAATTAAGTTCTGTTGTGACATTAGATAAACAATTTCAATACATTACATCAAGTATTTGATGTCCCCCCCCCCCCTTTTATATGATGCCCCCCCTTTTCCCAAGTTTGTCTTATTGTCTAAAGGGCTTACAAATTATATGGTTATTTTGGATGTATTTGTGTCTAAATCTTGTAATATCCTCATTATGAAATATAAATAGATAATGAAACGGATTACCCAATGCAATTATATTTATATTACAATATGGGGGGGGGGGGGTTCCAATATCGTTCTCAGGTTTACAAATATCTAGTCAAATAGTTTTTCGTGAAAAATAAAACACACACATCTTCCTGCTTTAATCCAATAATTAAACAAAATGTGCATAATAATATTTACCTTTCGTTGCGCTTTTGGGGTACGTAAAATTATCCATCAAAACAAAAACACTTTGACTTTCGTTGCGTTGACTTTCGTTTCATAAATTTTCTGTGTTTCGTTCCCTGGTTTCTTCCAGTTAATCGACAAGTCACCCATTTCAATTTATCTGTTTATAATAAATTTTTGATTCACCAGTTTGAAAAACCAAAGTTCCTTGTATCATCTATCTCTGTCCATTCTTAAAAACTTTTAAAAAGACAGCAACAGATGATCGCGTGAGCGTCCATGGATTTTGCGTCATAGTATAAAAAACGGTAACGGTGAAAAGATTTCCGGGTTTTCGTGTTCGACGTACCATGCAAGCTTTCGTACATTTACGTATATTTGAGGGTCTGGAATCAAGATGGGGGTTTAAGAATAGAAAATAATGACAAATAGTGCAAAATAAAGAATAGATAGTAAAAAAAGCAGAAATATAGAATAAAGAATCATAGAGAATAATGGGATTATAATAAAAAAAAAGAATTGAGAATAAAGAAAAAACTAAATAAAGAATACTTATTCATATTATTATTTAATATTTATAACTCATTCACTTATTTTACATTCTGTTCAATTCAAATTAGATAGCTCTGCTGTGGGGGTGACACTGGCAGGGCTGACCTGCTTTCATCATCATGATCATGTGGGATTTAGTGGGAAGAGTAGAAAGTGAACTTTCCTGTTTGAGAATTACGCTATATAGATAATAAATGAAAAAATGTATGTGATAATTAAGTGACAAATTTTGACATTTTCTCAAAACATTTTTTTTTAATGTCCTTTAAAACATATGAAAACATATGAAAATCATATGTTTTTCATATGTTTACAAACATATGTAAACATATTTTATAAAACATATGAAAACATATGTTTGCTTCCATATGTTTTCATATGTTTCAAAACATATGTAAACATATGTTGGTAAACATATGTTTTTCATATGTTTGGGACAAACATATGAAAAACATATGAAAATCATATGTTTTTCATATGTTTTGAAAACATATGAAAAACATATGTTGCAATTTTTCCTGTGTACCTGCAGAAAACTTATTTCAAACTGGATAACACATCCTCATTTTTTTTTGGAGTGGTTGTTTATCGAGGCAGGAAATTTAGAAACGATCCGGGTAAAGTAATCGATCCTTAAACATGTTTAAATAAACTTATTCTCAAAGTTTACAAATTCAAGACTCTAATTAAATCTTTAAATATTGCTTTCAATAGGTATTAATATTAATTGTGTTATCAGTGGATTAAAATCAAACTAAATATTATTTTTATATACATATGCACATCCATCGCACTATAATCTGGCGATACCTGTATCTTGACATTGGACAATGTCAAGTTTTTTTCTGACTGTTTATGACGTCTTTACACTAAATCCATTAGATTTTGGATGTGTGTTGATTGATATTTTAGTCTAAAATGCATAATTTGTCATTAGTTGTTATTGGTGTTGAATTTGCTGTCAGTAACTGCGAGTACTCTAAGATATGTACTTTGTGTCTTTCTGTTGTGTAGATGTATAAGTCCACGTCCATTCTGTGTTTTTGCTAGATGTATTTATATTTGTATCCATCTGATTAGTGTTGCCATTTTTCAATTGATTTTTATAGTTTGTTCTTATGTTATTACTTTTCACCACTGTCCCAGGTTAGGGGAGGGTTAGTGCAATCAAACGAGTTAAACCCAACCACATTCTGTATGTGCTTGAGCCTGTAAATCAGTTGTTGTCGTTTGTTGCTGTGTAACATATATCTTTTTCATTCATTATTTTGTACATACATTTGGTCGTTCGTTTTCTTGTTTGAACTGTTTTACATTTCATTTGTCATTTGGGGGCCTTTTATAGCTGACCATGTGGTATGAACTTTGCTCATTGATGAAAGGCCGTACTGTAACTTACAATTGTTAATTTCTGTGTCATTTGGTCACTTGTGGAGAGTTGTCTCATTGGCAATCATACCACATCGTCGTATTTTTATATATCATTGGATGGTTATTCTTTGTTGGTGTTGCTACTTCATTATAACAAATGAATTTGTAGTACTGAAAAGAAACAACGGCAGGAATAACATTACAAGTGATGCCACTTACAATACACAATAATTTTATCAAAGAATAGAAATGTTGTAACACACATTTTATTTTTTTTTCCACGGAATATTTATATCTAGAAAAAAATTTCAGTAAAGCAATTCAACTCTACTTTTTGAAATTATAAGAACTTTATATATTAAATTTCAAACTCTTTTATTTAATTCATATCAAACCATTTTTTCAGATAAGAAGACTGTTAAATAGTTTGTTTTGTATTGTGCAGTGTGTTTTTATTGTCAGTAAAGGTAGGTAGTATGTTTCGAACATGATTAAATACAGCATTTAAACCGGTTGGCAGATATGTTTCTTCCTTGCTCAACTAAATGAATATATTAATCTGACTATATTAATATGAACATTTTTTGTATTAGTATTACCTAACAAAGCTCTAAACGTGCTATTTGACTTTATTCAATAGTTTGATCACATCAGTCTTAATAGACGTGTTATGAAAAGGTTTATACTCGAAGCTGAGGTTGACAAATTATACATTACATATGAGGACTGTGTCAAAACATTGATTTTTTTTATTTAAACCGGTAATTTCTTAATCATATAATATGAAATGCGTGATGAAGCACTCCTCTTGGTTCAATTAAATGATGCTAGTTTAGAACCTTTTAGTGTAACGTAGAACATGATAATCATGTTCTGCTTTCATTGCGTGTGATATTAGGACTGGAAAGGTTATGTTTTCACTTCCATGTTTTTACTCATTTACATAGTAAACCAGTTAGAAAAAATGTAGTACATTAATTGAAAACGTACATTTTTAATATCACCTATAGCGTAACATATACCAAACACTCCGATAATAGCAAGTTTGTTTGATTTTATTTATTCTGCTCTAGGATTAGCTCTAAGTTAATAACGACTATAGGCAATATATGAAGGATTCTAAGTAACGTTTTACATATAAACCTTATAGTGAAAATTAAACATTAAACTTTTCTTAAAGACACAATTATAAGAAAATGAATAAAGAACATGCATGCCTCAAAAGGTATATGACAGGGGTGACTTTTCGGACTGTTTGAAAGACTAATCAAATGAGTTAGACAATTTCTTATCTCTGAAATTAAAATTGTTATATCATTGTATGAATATGCATAGGATGCTTTTTCCAGGGATCCTCATTTTCTTGGAGGACGAGGCTAGAGGAGTGCTAATACGGCAAAAACGAATTACATCTTACATGAAATGGTATAAGTGAAATAGAAATTCCCCCTGGAGCTTTTCTTTAAAAAAAGAACCGAAATAATAGGCAAACAAAAATGGCAGGATATAACTTCTCAGACTTTTGTACGCTCATGTAAGGGCTCACAATAAACTAACCGGTTCAAAAAGGCCAGGGGAAAAGACCAACACAAAGAATTTGTCAAAAAGATGGGAATTGAGAGACAACTAAAAAAACGACATCTCAACAATGGAACTATTTGCACACGGGAAATAAGGACCCCTTCAAAACTAATACAGATATTTTCAGACCTTCTTTGAAAATTTAATAAATAAAGACAACAGTAGTATACCGGTGTTCAAAAGTCATAAATCGATTCAGAGAAAACAAATCGGGGAACAACAGGAACACTGAAGTGTAACATAATCAAACGCCAACATACATAGAAACAGACTGTTTGATAACAACTGCCATATTCCTGACTTGGTACAGGACATTAAGAAAAAATGGTGGGTTGAACCTGGTTTTATGGCTACCTTAACCTCCCGCTTATATGACAATGTTAAAAGTACCGTTAAAATGACAACATTACGTGACAGGAAATCAGTTCGAATAAACACAAGAACACTCAGGACAGAAATTTACATAAATAAATAATATAATAGTACATTATAACATGTAAACTACAAAATAACAACGGACAAACTTCCATTCATTTACGACAGTACACCGGAATACCACAATAGAATTAAGAACTATGCGTCACACAAATGTATCAACGCCTCAAAAAGTGACGTCACATGTACATATCTAAAAAAAGAATATAAAATTAGGATTAAGTTTGTTATGATATTATTTTATGTATTTTCTAACTATTACAAGAATATTAATATAGAATTAATATTAAAAAACAGTTTTGCTTTGAGTGAAACCCTTTTAAACATTTGAAACTCTAGTAAATCTCATTAACCCTCTTTAAATCATTTGTGTGGTCTGATACAATACCCACATTTAAAGTCTAATTCGTCAACCTCAGTGTCGAGTATATACCGTTTCGTAACATGTCTAATAGAATAATTCAGCATGTCCGATATGGATGACTTCGCTTTATGAGAATACTATTACAGATGTTTAACATCAAATGGGTCATAATGGGAAAATCACAAAACTTATTTGTTCTTAGTTTTAAGTTATTGCGCATTTGGTAAACTTATGATTTATGTACTGGAACATTACTTTCTGTTGATATGTTCGTTAAACATCACACTAAAAACGTTCGTTACAGATGAAGATCTTGTCATAGATTATTGCGTCTTTTGTTTAGTAGTTTTTCCATTGTCAAACCAAAATCTCTATTCAGGTAGCCGGATTGTATTTAATTTGGAGCTTAATACGCACAAATGGGGTAACATGTATAACAACATATATATTTGGTGTAAAATAAACGTAAAGATGGAGAGTTCGGATTTATTGAAAATGTCGGATCATATGCATTTTTATTTTTAAACAATGAAGTGTTACAGCAACTTCTACTGTTATTGAAAAATTATCAATAATGATGAGATCAAGCGGGGTGAACTATAACATGTTTAACCTATCTATAGGCTTCATTCTTACTTAACTATAAAAATAAAACAAGTGGTATGATTGCTAATGAGACCAGCTGTATTTCAGCTTGTTGATTGGTATTTTCAGTATAATCCATTTTTATTATCGAGATTTATCTTCATCAAGAAGGTATTAACCCAAACATTAGAACGTCGGATGTGTATAAAAGAGACGCGAAAGACAGCACAGGGATATTTAAACATATAAGGGACATATAAATACATAAAAAGTTAGGATCTGCTTTAATGACAACAGAAAAGTGGTGACCAATGGGCTAGTGATATCCTCGGACATGGATCGTCCACCAGCGGCGTATCGACCTAGTTGTTGAAGAACCTCATCAAAGTGCCATGATTATCATTTTGTACGCAAAACATGCGTTTTGTCTACATAAGACTTCTCAGCAGCGAACCAAACAAAAATGTTAAACCAGCTTCTTACACGTGCAATTTTTATGGCAAATTTTGGACATACAGTACTCCTTTTATATCCTACATTCAGTTGTATAGAACTTCTGAATTAAACGTTTCACTTCACAAAGTTTTGAAACCGCCTGCGAGTCACCTTAACCCAACTGATATATCACTAGAAAATAAAAACCATTTAAATAATTCAATTAAAATCGCTCATCTAATACAAATTGCAAATGGAAAATTTAGAATAGTTGTTAGAGTTGAATGGTTTTAAATGATCCTTTTAAAGTTTTGTTTTGTTTTTTTACAAAAGGTTGTTTTGCGTAAAACAACTAATGCTATAATTTTATAACAAAAGACTTAAAGCAATTGTGTTTCTTCATTCTAAAGTTTTAAGGGTTATACTTCTAATTCATTACATTTGCGTTTACTAATCATAAAGATTGTCGTCAGGGATAATTTTGATAATGAAAACTTTTGTGCATATGTATTGTGGTGATTGTTTTCGATTGTGCATTATCATGAATTGCTTTAATTTTATGATTAACCTTGTTTCTCTTCGTATAATATGATACAAGGTGATTTAAAATAAAAACGAAAAGATATACACTCGACACTGACTTTTGCAAATTATACTTTATGTGTCGGGACTGGGTCAATAGTGAACCAGATTGAAATAAATGTATTACATTTCTGGTAAAAGATACATTTTAATCGCCTTATAGCGTGTTCAACATATAACCAACACTCCGATTATCGCGAGTTTTTATTTTTACATTTTATTTATTCTGCTAGTGGTTTAGCTCTGATTTGATGACCCATCACCGATTCCTTTCTCCAAGCTTCTTTACCTCTTTAAGTAAGTATTTTTCCATTTTCTTTCTGCTTTTGCAATCCCCTTTACAGTGTTCAAACGAAAGAAAGAATGAATTCAATGAAACATTTGTTCCATTTATAATAGAATTGTATTTATAAATTGTCCAAAATGACATCTGTTCTATGCAGTTTAAAGACAAAATTGAATTGATACAAAGGTAATATAAATATTAAAACCTCATTAATGTTTTGATACGATTCCTACATTTAAGAAAGTTGACTAATAGGCTAGTGACATCATCTGACATGGACCGTCCACGAGCGGTGTCATCTAACCAGTGGTTGTAAAACCTCAACAAAAATACCAGAATTATTATGTGGTACGCCAAGTACGCGTTTGTTGTACAGTACACATTTTATTTTCCACATTTGAAACTAAATTCTAAAAACACAATACAGATCTTTTAAAATTTCTTTTTTACTTACGCGAGGGCGATTTGGTTAAGAAAAATACAATTATGATTTTAAAATAGAAGGTTTAAGCAAGTTTATTTCTTTTTTCTGAAGGTTTAAGATTGTGGTCAGTGAAACAAATTTGTTTTTTCTCCAATTTCTGTTTGCATCAACTTCAAGTAGAGGTGATCTTGTATTTTCATACAAGTACTCAAGTATTGAATAATATGCTGGTAAAACCCTCTTGGTCTAAAAATCCACAAGAAGAGGTATATACCTAGTGGTAGTTTTTTTCGATTAACAGTACCAATTTTACTTCACCACATGCACATTTTGACAATAAATGTCTTTTCAGTGATGCTGAAGGCAACAATATGTGAAAATAAAAAATAAATAAGAAAAGTACTTGCTATGGTCTGTTCATACCAAATTTTCTCAAAAGGGATTGTATTGACAGGTAAAACATAACAACGACGATACAAACCAAAATCAACGTTACATTTCATATATCCAAGTGATCATGAAATTAAGGATACTACTGATACTAGAAGGACCTCTTCATACCTTGATCTTTTTCTCAATATTGACACAGATGGACGACTTCACACTAAAATCTATGACAAACGGGGCGATTTCAACTTCCCAACTATCAATTTCCAATTTCTCAGCATTAACATACCCTCTGCCCGAGCGTATGGTGTTTACATATCTTACATGTCTTAGTTCATACGCTATGTTCGTGCATGTTAACACTATATGGACTTCATAAACAGGAGTGTGCTCCTTACGCAGAAACTGCTCCAACAGGGTTATGAGGAGAAAAGATCAAAAATGACACTCCGAAAATCTTATGGACACCATCACAAACTGGTTGATCTATACGATGTGTTCATGTCTAAAATAACTATTGACTTTTTAAACACGTCTTAGATTGTGGTTTTCCACGTCGTCTAGTCTGCTAAGCACCTAACATGACCCATTCCCCCGAATATGACTGTTTTACCGAGTGTGCATTCGCATTGCTATTAGGCGTGTCTTGGTATTTATACATCCAAAATTCACGTATTTAGTTATGATGTGTCTTTTGTAAGTTTGGGTCGATATCGTGTTATGTCTTATCGTTTGAGGTTTGAATTCTATTTTTTTTTCTATATGTTTGTAAAAGTTAAGATAATTAATCACCTACTTCATTTATATGAATTTTAGTTTAAAGCAACTATATGCAGACTTTAGTTGTTTTCAAACAGTTTTCATTTAGAAGAAAAAACTGACATGGTTAGAAATTACAAATGATTACACCATTACTAACATAATCCTACATTAATATTCTTGTAATGGCTAGAAAATACGTAAAATAACACTATTATAAACTTAATCCCAATTTTATATTGTATTTTTCGAAATTTACCTTGGACGTCACTTTTTGTGACGTTGATACATTCGTGTGACGCACAGCTCAATATTCTATTGCGGTGCACTATGTGTGGAAGGTGTCCGTTGTTATTCTGAGGTTTACATGATGTAATGTACTATTATATTTTTTTATTTATGTATTTCTCTGTCCTTAGTGTTCTTTTGTCTATTTTGACTGTATTTCTGTCACGTAATGTTGTCATTTTAGCGGTAGTTCTAACATTGACATATACGCGGGAGGTTTGGCTAGCCATGAAACCAAGTTCAACCCACCATTTTTTTCTTAAAAATGTCCTGTACCAAGTCAGGCATATGGCAGTTGTTATCAAATAGTTCGTTTCTATGTATGTTGGCGGTTTTTTTTGTTGCACTTCAGTGTTCCTGTTGTTCCTTTCTTTTCCTCTTATAGTTGATGTGTTTCCTCGGTTTTGGTTTGTGACTCGGATTTGTTTTGTTTAATTGATTTATGACTATTGAACAGCGGTATACTACTGTTGCCTTTATTTACCTATTACACGATTATCTATTGTACCAAACACGTTTTTCAATATACTATATACCATTTCGAATCTTTGTGACATGACAAACAGGAATATATATGGTTTAGGGGTGGGTATCTTTCTCAAATGGCAGGGTGTGGGGGTGACCCTAGGGGCTAATCATTTATTTCATTTGATGGACTGTATCATGATAAACAAGAATATATATGGTTTAGGGATGGGGATCACGATAACGTACAATATATTAGAACTTTCTCAAATTGCAGGGAGTGTGGGGGGTTAGCCCTTGAGACTAACCTTTTATTTCATTTGATGTGCTGTATCATGTAGAACATATTCAATTATAAAGATTGTGTCAATCACTTACTGTTTCAAGTTTAATCATTTGAAAATTAAAAACAGTAATAAAATCCTATAGGGTTCTATTGTTAACCCCTCATTCCTTTTTGCCCCTCAAAGTACCCCTTTAAAAACACCATTACACAAACAAAACCCTGATTGCAACACTAAACATGTTAGTCTAACATATTGTGAAACTCTAAGTCAATCTGCGGTTTTAGAGAACGGACAAGTTCAAATTTAAAAGCGACGGAAGAAGAAGAAGACACGGAGAATAATAAAAATAATACGAACTGATCAAAAACAATAAGTCTTCCCAAACTAAAAATGAAATTCTGACATATACAACTTTTGTTTCGAAAGGTTTTTCTTTAGTGTTTATGGGTGAAAGTTTGAGAAAAACCTTTCATGTACGCGGACACAGTATTTAAGATCTGTATTTCTGCAAAATGCTCGGTTCGAATGTCTGATAACTTTTAATCCTCACACTTTTATTATCTGAAACAACCATGGTTTTTTAACAGCAGTTACTAAAATTATTTGCATCAGTTCAAAATGTTGCAAATAATAAGAATAAGGTCGATCTTCATTGTGCAAAGTTTCACTGCAGAATATTTTTAAGTAATTTACAATTCACTTTGCTTTCTGATATCCCAAATATTTTTTATGTATTTAATGTATTTTGATAACCAAAAAATACTGGTCTTTCGGGACAATTGTCGTGCACACATCCATCGCTATAATATATTTCATTTTGTTATTTACTGATCAATAGTCAGTGGGATACATGGTCGAATGATAAGATGAAATAATTTCTTAAAAAGTAACTTCCACCAAAGCTCCTTAATGATAACAGACAAATGTTTAGACCTGTTGTTGACCTTCTGCTGTTGTCTGTTCTATGGTCGGGTTGTTGTCTCTTTGACACATTCCCCATTTCCATTCTCAATTTTATTATCATCTTCTTCAGTTTGGTATACCAAATAAAGTATTACGCATTTTGCAACTAATGTATGTGAATGTGTGTTTACTTGTTAAGACGTACTTATATATATCAACTTTGTTTAAATGATAATGGGAAATGGCTGTTATAAATGAATATTAATCATAAAAGGGATTAAATGGTTTTTTTAAATTATATTCTAAAAGTCTATTTCAAACGATGATTTCGTTCCAGCGTCAACTCCTATAATAATAGTCGGTAAAAACGAATATAATCCAGATTATGCATCCAAACTTGTAATTGACACACGAATATCTGCAAGTGCAACTGTTCTCAAAGTTTACTGGACACGGAACTCAAGCGGAATCATAACAACAATTGAACATGGTTTCTCTGGCACAGATGGGATAACGGTAGATAATCCTTCGTTGACTCTTTTATATATTACGGATCTTGATAATGGACTATATACATGTACTGCGGAAAGTTACAGAGGAATTGGGTTCAGCAAGACTGTCAACGTGACTGTAAATGGTGGTACGTTGTATTATCTTTGATGAAGTTTTAGTTTGTCAGATGAAAAGAATACACATTTAGAATGCTACGAAACCTTTTCAACAATAGACAGTACTTACAAATCAGAAAAAGGCTCATACTTGGTTCCAAATGAGTGCAAATTCTAATGTAACCTAATATTGTCAAAAGAGCAAATCAAAATAAGTGGTTTATAAGTAGTTATAGACAAAACTGTTATTTCATGATTTCGTTTATTTAATCATTTCAGATACATTCCCATGTTGCCTTTGTACGATTCCAATAATCTTAGTGCTGGGTTCCTTTTTTCACCTGGAATTTCAGTCAAGACAAATAGGAAGATGAGGAATCTACAATCACATGTTGCCTATACTTTTTCAGGAATATGACAATTGTTTTCCATTCCTTCCGTTCATTGATAAATTCTTACGTTTGATTTTTTCAGGTATGAAGGACTTCTTCGTTTTGAATTTGCCTTGTAGTGTGGGGTTTTTTTTGTTAATATTTTTATATCATGATCATTATTATTCGTATTATCATTATTATGATTATTAATAATAATGATATTCTTATCGCTATAATTATTATAATTATCATTCAGATGTGCATCAAACTTTTGAAAGGTCATATTATCTTTTTTATTGAAGGAGTTCCATATGTAAATGCTGTCAATACAACTTACTCGGTGTTGTATGGAAACCGTGTAGTACTAAAATGCGAAATCACATCTCTTCCTGGACTGATTTTTGTTGCATGGCAAAAGGAAAACAATGGCTTTGTAACAGTTATTAATTCCGGGGCAGTAGGAACAAAAGGAATACGTAAATCTGACCCGTCACTAATCATTCCTACTACAAGTTTCTACGACTCGGGTAACTACACCTGCTTTGGATGTAATAGTGCTGGTATAGGAAAGAGCAATCCCATTTCCTTAAGGATTTATGGTGGTAAGTATAGTTCAAATTTATAATTATTCAATTCTTGATATCGTTTTAAGTAAACTGCACATATTGCCGGGGAACCCTGCATCTGTTATAGATAATGCATATTTTAAGGTATCGTCTGGGTTGATTCTTCAAAGGAAAGACCTATCGTTCTGAAAGAAAATAACTCCATATAGGTTTCTAAGGCAGTGTAACATATGATATTAAAAAAGACAGTCAAATAAAAAGAAAGACGATTTCCTACAATATTATCAACATTATTTAATTATAGGTTAGCAATTTCTTTTCAAGAATGTGTAACAACATATTTGTCGGTAATTTGACTAGATACTTTACCGACAGAGATTATAAATATAAAAGAAGATATGGTATGGTTGTCAATGAGTCAGCTCTCCAAAGACCAAAAACGTAGTTACGTTTGCTTGTTGTTATTAACTCGAAATATGTTTTCTTAAATTGCAAGATTTTTAAATACATGTACCTTAAATGTCAGTACGATAAATCATGTCGAAAACTAGAAGCGCTAACTACTGATTGTATATTGAATTGGTATCGAGAACTAAAATAATATCTGCAGGGTTGTCGATTAAGTGAAGCTATAAGTTAAGGTAAAACGTAATAAAGTTGTTCCGTTTACATTTTGAATTAATATTTGATGAAATTGTTAAGGGGGTAAGCTCACCAAAGATACAAGAGTTATGGTTTCTTCCGTCGGAAGTGCGTATTGTCTCCATAATGATTATCGGTATGGATCGATTAAAAATGATTGTGCTTAATACAGCTTACGTCATCTATGCCTGTAGGTAGAACACATTTAGTTAGTTTTTCGAATAATATATGTACAAAATGTTATTAACAGAAAAATACACAACAATCATATTTCATGTCAACGCAAAGCGCTGAATTCTAGGCAAGAGATATCTTCGAAATGGGGGATGGAAATACAGAATATATATGTGTAATGTTATATAAATACACATACTAAAATGAAAACGTTCTAGCCTTTAAATATCCGTTTGATCACTCTATGTTTTCTATATATTGGATTAATGTCCTTTTTGAAAAAGGAAGATCTGAACACATTTTATTCGATTATATATTATATTTCATAGAAGTTCCTTCTGTTATTACACCAAGCTTGAAATATAATGTAGAATACGGAGGTGAAGTGACACTCCAATGTTTTGTCAAATCACGTGTAACATTAAAAAACATATACTGGGAAAAGTCCTCAAATGGATTAATAAAAGTAATTAACCAACAAGACACAGGCACCAGAGGAGTTTCGTTATCAAACCCTTCTTTGACTATAGTAAAGGTCACACTGGCTGATATCGGCGAGTATACATGCATTGCCAGTAATGCAGTTGGCACTGTCGGGAGTGATAAAATAAGTTTGATAACTAAAGGAGGTTAGTCCTAATTATTTTTATAAATAGATACAAGATTTATTAAAGATATTTCCAATTTACTCAATGACACGAAACTAGTACCTATTCTCTTATGGTTGCGGCATGTGATCTATTTCTTACATGAAGAGATATTTCTTGTATCACACTGCCCGGAGTGTCATACGAAAAAGTGATACGAAAATCTGAGTTAATTTGAACGGCTTATCCAGCATCATGAGACGATATTACGACATTGGCTATTCGTAAGGTCATTGATGACTTTCAAAGGTTAAGACGATGTACATTTCGTCCATGGCAACGGACATATTTGATTTCTTCAATAATAGAAAAAAAACACTCACACTTTTTAGCTGAAAATCTTCTTTTTGTCAATTTTTATTATATTCTGAAGCGTACAAAAAGTTTTAAAATGTCCGATGTTAAAGTTTGACACCGGAACAGGACATATGAAGTCATACGTGTATGTGCAAAAGACTACATCAAATTTTCCCAGAATTTTAAATTTAACACAACGAGAGTGTTGACCATAAGAGAAATAGGTTTTACAACTTGTGAGAATTAGATATCGCTTGATATCAACTCTCGTTATTTAATTTAAATAGTAATAATTAACTCGCCGAAGACTCGTTTTTTATTATTTTAAAATTGAATAACTCGAGTTGATATCAAGCGATATCCAAGTCTCACTCGTTATGAAACCTACAATTATTGTTATTATGAAAACTTTACACACTGTCAATTCATATAAGACAATCATTTTATTGAATTAATTAATCGACATTGAGGAACATCAGCTGTTTAATCGGGGTACCGAAATGATAAATCATTTGTATCAAACGAACAGGATTCAAACATAGAGCAACGATATTTAAAAAAAACAGTAAAGAAAGCAATTAATAACAAAAACTCAACAAAACAACAAACATACGCACACTAATAAAAAGAGTATATATGATATACATGATAGAGAAATTGTAAAGGCAACAACGGTTTACCGATGTTCGAATCTCAAAGATTTCATTTTGAATATTTAAATCAAGTTAGAAAAAAACCGTGTGCGTCGAATGATAAGCATCTGTAACTATGCTAGCCTACCCACCAGATGAATCTTAACTCAGTCAACATTTCAAGAAGGGGAATAAGACACAATTTGAAAATTTACATATCAATTAAATATTCTAGTATTTAAAGAACAAAGAAGTATAAAAATGTTGCTTGTGAGATGCGAAACACAGGTGTAAACCGTAAAACTTATTAAGTGTCAATTTCCCTCGTATTTTTTCATAATCTTGCTAGAGATCTTTTTGTTTTTTGGTGTGTCTTTTATATGTGCACATGCTCGTTCTTAAAGCATCTTTGGTATGTATCAATGGCAATGGGTATGTTGGTCCTGAGAAAAATGAAAATAACATTTTACAAATTTCTTGAGTTTGAATTGAGAACTGAATTTAACAAAATATCGTCCATATTCATTCATTTGTAGTAAATAAGTTCTTCTAAGTTTAACTAAAGAATTAAATATTATACATTCAAATTATTTTTCAGGTTTGCCACAAGTGACTGTTGGCGCCATTGCTTATGAAGTTGTTTACGGAAATAGAATTACATTACAATGTTCAGTGAGCAGTGACCCTGAAGCAAATCTAGTGTATTGGCAAAAAACAGTGAATGGTGTTTTATCAACACTGAGTCACAATGCTTTTGGTACAAATGGAATGACTCCAAATAATCCATCTCTTACAATAGAATCTGCAACAATGTATGACTCCGGAGCTTATCTGTGTTCGGCTGCCAATACAGTTGGGACCAGTTCAAGTCAATGGACTATATTATCAGTCACAGGAGGTGGGATAGTAACGTATTAGTTTTATCTTTAAAAGATTAAGTAACTATGAAAATTACAATAACGATAGCTGTATGCGAACTGATTGGCCTATTATGTATATGCTAAAAAATAAAACTTCTCAATACAATTAAACTGTTTGATTTCAAGTATTATTTCTTGCAACATTTTAAGTTACCAATGAATCATAAGCATAAGTCATTTAACGTTTTATCATATTTTCCTCTGCTCTTTCCTTTGAACTACGTTCAGCTTTTGTTTTCTTTTTAATTGTAATATGCGCAATATGTAAATGTATAAAACTTGAATAGTGCTTGACATTTACTCATTTTTTGTAGCTTTACCTGTGGTAACAACTGAATTACCAACTTATGTTGTTGAATATGGGGAGAATATTACTTTACCTTGTTCAGTTTTATCTACCCCTCTTCAAACGAATGTATACTGGGAGAAAACTGTCGACGACAGAGATATCTTTATTTATAGTGGAACTCCAGGAACATATGGAATCAGTCTGAACAGTCCATCATTAACGATTGATTCCGTTGTCGAATCAGACAATGGGAATTATACATGCATAGCCATTAATTTTCTAGGGATCACACAAAGCATGGCGTCATCGTTAACTGTTCTTGGTGGTATGTTTCATATTTTTATTTTAAAAACCAATTTCAAAACGTCAGATCGTTGTAAAACTTTCGTCATATTCAAAAGTATTGGGGATTCATATATTTTAACAGATTTAGACAATATTGAATTTGCATGGATATTTAATTTTAATGTTTTGCCAAAGTCTGCATACAAAACTATAGAAGGTGCTTTCTTCATTGAACATATTAAGGGGCCTCGGCGGCCAAGTGGTCTAAGTAGTTCGACTACTGTAATCACTAGCCAGTCAACACTGAGGTTGTGAGTTTGAATCCCGCTAGTGCGGCTGCACTCGACTCCAATCTTAATTGACTAGGATTGTCAGTTTTCCTATCGAAGGTCGGTGGTTTTCTCCGGGCACTCCGGCTTCCTCCACCAACAAAAACTGGCCGCCATGAAATAGCACAAATGTGGCGCTTAAAAGTGGCGTTAAAATACCAACAATCAAACAATCAATCATTGAACATAATAGTTCATGGCTAACAAATATAAACGAAATCCACAAAAAAATTGTATCCAACAAATAATAATGAATGCACAGTATGTACCGTATCCGTTTTGATATAATTTGATATCTCTATCACAAAGTAAAAGGAACGTAATCAATTCGAATGCACGCTGCATATATTTGAAATGTTCATCTATATTCCAAATACCCTGATTTTATTTAATCTATTACTAATATTTGTTTTTAGCTGTGCTTAATTTCCGTGTCGCTCTTTAAAAACAAAATTTACTTTCTACACATAAAAGGCTAACATTAAACATTAGTTAATTAAAACTAAAAAAAGTAGACACAATATGTAAAGTAAATGAAAACTTTCGAACCGGTGTTAAGATTTCATCAAATACTCGTCTGCTAATTGACATGGTATGTCATTGATGCGGTTATTTTCTGTAAATATACTATTCATAAAACAATCAAATCATTTGAAACATAAAGGTTTGTCTACCCCTGTATAAAGATGGTTTAAGATGTCTCAAAACTTTTCATAATATTTGGTTTTCAATGTGCTTTAACGTCGAATCATCAGTTTTGAATTTCCAAACCTATCCGTTACTTATTTTGCTTTAAAACAGTTTTGATTAGAGCGCCTCTGGCGAGTCTTACGAAGGCAAAATTCGCGTCTGGCATACTAAATTATGAGCTTTGTATCGTTTGTGTATATTTCAATCTGTTAATTTTAGTAACAATATTAAATATTTAAGCTAGGAACATGAATTTTTTTTTCATCTGCAGAGTCTCCTGAAGTGTCTATAAATAAAGAAAACTATACAGTAAACACTGGTTCCTCTGCACTTCTTCAATGTGATATACAATCAAATATGCCATACCATCACATTTATTGGAAACGATATATAAATGGAACTACAACAATGCTTCTTCCTGGAATGATAGGTATCAGTGGTGTAACAACGGAAGATCCATTTCTTGGGATTGATGAGGTAGATTTGTCAATGGCAGGAGAATATTCCTGTTACGCTGTAAACAAAGTTGGAACAGGACAAAGCCGTCCAGTTGTACTCATTGGTAAATATTAAAATGACGGTGTATATATTAATTGTTTTAACCAGTGTCTCAGACAAAATTAGCAATGACTTGATCATGTTGATTATTTCTGTTCTTTTATGTGCTTACAATATCTAATATAAATGAATATTAGATAGTACGTTAAACTTTAAGGAACAATACGTAATATCGATGTATATACATGTAACTTTACACATTCCTTAGAAACTCCTAAACGTTTAATGTACATTAAACGTGTTTACTTGTTCTTTTAAGCCACAGTTGTTGGGTAACATGTTAAGTTGAGAAAATAGTAAACAAGAGATGATGGTCAGTATAAAACGTTCTGAAACAATAAAAATGCTGTCTCCTGTAATGACACTAAATATTTTTTCTACTCCAAGCATAGATGTCATTTGCCTTATTTGCAGTTTCTTGGCATTTTTGGCTCGCAATGCTCTTTAACCTTGTGTTGGGGTTTGGCCTTCTAGCTTTTGATTCGAGCATCACCTTTGTAATTCATCACTTTGTTTTGTATTTATTATTCCAATACCCTTTGGAATGTAATATAACCTAATAACTGTTGCGTATCTCTCAATCAACACCTCAGGCAATGTGTATTGCTATTTTCTAACGATCATATAGATTATACATGTTAAATGTCCATGGTCAGAGAAAGGGGAGAGGAAGATGTAAACTTCAATTCTTTAAGATTGTTTCCTGTAATCTATTTCTTGGATGAATATATATATATATATATATCATATCGCATTGCACGTAGTGTGATACAAAAACGTGAAACGCAAAATGCGTTAATTTATTTGGCTGATCCAACATCATGAGATGACTTTGCAACTATTCGTTATGTCATTGAAGACTTTCAAACGATTTAGTCCATGGCAACGAAGATAAGTGATGTCTTCCATAATATCTCTTTTTCAACTATAAATCTTCATTTTGTCAAATGTTTTAACATTTTGAAGCGTACAAAAAGTTTTAAAATGTCTGATTTTAAAGGTTGACTCCGGAACAGGATATATAACGTCATACTGGTATGTGCAAAAGACTAGATCAACGATTAGTGGAATTATTTTTTACAGTGCAAATGTTTACAATAATAGATTTAGGTTTTACGTTAGAATGGGATATCTACTCTCCTGATTTAATTTAGATAATAATGAAAAGAAATACGTCAAAGGCTCGTTCAATATTATATTGAAACAAAATGACTAGTTGGTGTCAAACAATGTCTTTTTCGTTATGAAACCAATTATTCTCGACAATCAGCAAGATTTAGACATCTTAAAGAGTATTGAAGACATCCTAAATTGCGACTTATCAGCTGATATTAACACTTAATTAGCAACAAGACGGTTGAAAGTTGTCGAGCAGTAATGTCTTTCTTTATAGAGTATTTGAGGCCAACCATGTATTTTGTGGTGTCGGCTCAATTGTCTGTGCAATGTTTTGGACTGGTATTTGTTTAAGGGTCTTTTTGTGGTATTGTTGTACTGAGTTATAAGCATAGTATGTTGATAAGCTTTGTTTATATTTTGGTTTTTGATTATACCCTAAGTATTTGCTCACAGTTTTAGAATATTTTTATATTCCTTATAAGATAACTGATAGAACATAGTTGATCAGCTTCAATTCTTCAATGTTTTAACCCAAGTTCTAATAGAAACGCAGTCCTTACATGTATATTTATTTTGTTAAATACTTTAACGGAAAGATCTTTTTAAGTAATTTTATACTTTTGAAGGCGTCTTACAGAACACTTGCAAAATTTTCAGAGCTTTTCAATTCTTTAATTGTAACGTTTAATCGACCATTTTCTACATAAGGAAATGTCTGTACCACGTCAGGAATATCAGAGTTGTTTTTTCATTAGTTTGATGTGTTTGAGCTTTTGATTTTGCCATTTGATAAGGGACTTTCCGTTTCGAATTGTCCTTGGATTTCGGTATTTTTGTTATTTAACTTTTTTTTATATTAATATATCATGTATAAATGACTTTTAAATTTAAGTTACAGCTACTGATAACTCTACTGACAGTCCAGATTATCCAGACGAATCTAAACCAAACATGTTATCAGGTAGAAGTTAATAATATATTTGTTTGTGAATTTGAATCTTTATTTTTTTCTAATTCTTTTAAATTTAAATAATACTGGTATATTTACTTTAAAAAAAGAGGTCACATTAGTTACCAAGACCATGACAAAACGTAAAACGAAGGACAGACAAAAAATCGTCCATTTGCAAAACACTTCACAGAAAACTTTAACATTGATTAATCATGAAACAATCCCATAACGAATGGTGCACAAGTGCCTTCATGGTCAGCAATTCCTGTTTCTCCATAAATGTAAAAAAATTCTCTGAGCATGTTTACAGAACATACATTGGGGTGAGGCGCCACCCAATACCTGATTGATGAATATCGTATATCTTGGCTATGACATTTCCAAACTTATTGATCATTTGTAGGTTAAATTTTCTAATTTGATATGCATGACTGAATATGAAAGTTTAAAATTGTTTTTTTCGCAATATAAGAAATACAGGTATGTAACCGAAAAAAAACTAACACTGACAAAAACCAGCCAGGATTAAGCAGTTCTTCTGCAACTGGTAACATGCGTCATGTTGCTCGTGGAAAATAAAATGTAATGTCACAATTGAGATCATACGGACAGAATTGTGGTTACTTAAAACAGGGACGTATCAGTTGTCATCTGTGTAATGAATATTCAACACCGGGTAATCAAATGATGGCATCCGTAAAACTTCCAAAAGTAACTGTAACTTAAAGATTAAGAATTTTGGAAAAATATCTAGCTTGTACGCAACAACCATCTATATATCCTTTTTTAACGTTTTAACGGTATAAATTCTTTATTGCACATTTCTTGTAACAGTTTCCTAATTAAATAGTTGTCAACTTAGTATTCCTCGGGTTTATGTATCTAATAGCTAAGTGAATCCCTATTTGGTAAGATCTAACCTTATGCCTCATCTTAGCATTGATAATATTACACGTTTTATGATTCCATTACACAAATGTATTTAATAAATGTTTGTATATATATCTTACCGAATCTGCGATAGGAGATATGAATAAACTCGGAACAAGTTAAATTAAATTACAATAGGGGAAAAAGGATGTGTTTACTTAAGTAAAACTTGTGGTAGCCAACCACAGTGTCTTCCTATATCAAGTCAGACTATTTGGAACATGTGTTGGTCGTTTTTTTTTTGTTTTTTTTTTTGTTTTGTCTTTTATTTCATGCCTATTTTATTCGGAAGTTGGTAGTTGATGTGTTTTGTTGAACTGTCAAATACTATTCATAATTACTGTTATTTCTTTATCATATATTATATGTAAGAGGTATGATTTGATTTGGTGGGAGCATTCATTTTTGACTTAAGATAAATCATATATAAATGAATTAATTTCAGTTATACTCAGTGTTACTATTGGTGTCTGTGTTACAGTATTCCTTGCTTTAATGATAATTTGTTTCCGGAAACAACTTAGGAACCAACGTAAGTAAAAAAATCAGTTGACTAAGTTTTAATATATTTTCAGCTTCAATCTATTTTAAGGTCTTAATAATTTTACAGAAATCATTCTTATCAACATATATAGCTAATATTGATAATACTTCTAACGCTAAAACTAATAACTCATTTGTATCAGAATATTTTTTTTTAGAATTGCAATATCAAGTATTTTGGGATTGACTATGCAGTATAATTACACCTGATATTAGTTTAATTGATATTGTTTTTTTTTTTTTTTTTTTTTTTTTTTTTATGTTTTGATCATATCAGTTGAATAGTGTTCATGTTTAACGATGTTTAATTTTTGTTTCTCTACTTGTTGAAACGTATCTGCTTATTCATCCTTCACGAAGACATTGGCTGTATCATTTCAAATCTCAGATCTTTATGTACCAGTATGGTAGTTTGATTTAAATTTAGCGATTGTGTTCTATTCTCGGTTGTGACATTTTGCCTGAGTGTGACTTTGCATGACGGATGATGCATGTATAGCAAGAGATTATTACCCTGTCTACTCATCCGTCCTCGCTCCTTTTAGAATTATTGTGATTCCTTCAGTTTGTGTTTGTTGTCTTGGTTTGTCCCTACATTAATTATATGCGAGATTTGAACATCGGTAAACTACTGAGGTCATAATTTAAACGCAACTGTCTTGATAGTCATGCATGATAGCCAATATAAAAATAGAATAAAATTTCGAATATTTCCCATTACCCAGCAGGTAGGAAAATTTCATCTTTTCTAACCTGCTATTACGCCTCAGAAACATGATAAATCTGTTTATTAAACCTGTGTCATAACATAATAATACATAAAATAGAGAATGAAAATGGGGAATGTGTCAAAGAGACAATAACCCGACCAAAGAGTAAAAACACAGCCGAAGGCCACCAATGGGTCTTCAACACAGCAAGAAAATCCCTCACCCGGAGGCGGACTTCAGCTGAACCCTAAACAAAATGTGTACGAGTTCCGTGAAATTGGACGTCATAATAAACTCCTAAACATATAAATGAACTAAAATTAAAAAACATACAAAACTAACAAAGGCCAAAGGCTCCTGACTTGGGACATGCGCAAAAATGCGGCGGGGTTAAACATGTTTAGTGAGATCTCAACCCCCCCCCCCTATACCTCTAGCCAATGTAGATTAAACAAACACACAGCAATACGCACAGTAAAACTCAGTTTAAAGAAGTCCGAGTCCGATGTCAGAATAGGTAACAAAAGAAACTAAGCAAACTGACAATGATACATAAATTAACAAAGGACTACTAGCAGTTACTGACATGCCAGCTCAAGAACTCAGTTACACTGATTGTAAGATTATGTCTTCATCATATGAAAATCAAGCACAATCCCTCCCGTTAGGGGTTTAGTATCATACCATCATAAAATATATGAGAAGAACATAACCCGTATCATACCAACAACTGGTTTTAGAATAAATGTGTTTATTTCCGATGCAAAGACCCTATGAGTGAATCAATATTAATACCAAAATATGCCATCTTTAATGACCTGACAACAGTATCGTAACTATATCCCTTTTGAATAAGTCTGTTTAAAGGTTTGGTTAGCTTTTGAGGTGAATGCCGACATTTTTGTCGTTTGTAAGAATATTACCATAAATGATTGGATGTGAAATACTTGAACGTGTAAGATGTCTGCATGTTGATTTATATTTACGAATGATGTCCTTGTACCGATGGTAAAATTTAGTAAATGTTTTTACTAGTTTGTGATATCAAAAACACTGGTGTAATAATTTTTCAGTAATACTGAGATTTATTTCGTTAAAATCAAATACGTTGTGTACGAATATACTGGCAGTGAAAATAATAACATGGTAAACTTTGATATTGATTTCTTCTGGTATTTGAGTATTTAAGTGTTTAATTATACTCGTCTAAATTGGAAATTTAACGTGTTTAATAGTTTAATTTGAACAATACAAATTTTCATCATCTTCATTAAGCAAAAAGGAAATCATCGAAATTTTTTCAGATTAAATTCTATATACAATATACATTAATTGCTGAAATGTATTCATCTTTTTTAGTTGGACGCAGACAATTATTGTCCGTGGAAAACAATCATGCAAATTAATTGATCGTCACAAAATAGAACATGAAGAATGGATGCAAAGAAATTAAAATATAAGTTTCAATTCATTTAAAAATGTAGTATGTAAATTGTTTTAGTTTAGGAAAAAGACTAGACAATGAATATATGGTGTACTTTAATTTGACTGATTGTTTCTTTTTCTTACGTATTTGATGCAAACGAAGTTTCAACTTGTAATAATATACATCAAGTGACGAAAATAGACTTATATATATATATATATATATATATATATAAGTCTAAATTGAAAACAACGTTCAAACCTATGATTGCGTTGGATAAAAACCGCAATTTTTATACGTGTGCATGTAAAACAAATTTCTTGGTAGAGGGGTCTAAATACAGCACAAACAACATTTTCCAACAGACCAAAAAGTGAAAAGTATATTTTAACAAATCGCATTTGACTACCAGGTCGAACAACTGATGTTCTTAAACCCTGCTGACTGCCATTGGCGATTGCCAAAAAAATTGATCACCAGATGTGACATGGATCTTAATTATTACTTTTAATACCAAACAGAAAACAATAAACTTGCGAAAAGATGGTAAATCGCAAACATGAGGTGCAAAAAAATTTTATACACCATATCCGGATTTCGACAATTAATGTCTCTTCAGTGATGTTAGGGATCGAAACGGTATTTGGAAAGCCATACAATTTACCTCAATTTAGGATTGACTCTTGAATTTTAAAGAGTCGAAATAGGATGAACGGATCATATAAACCCAAAGGAAAATATAATACAAGCCCAAACGAAAAAATTTAAACAAGTCTAAATTGAAAACAACGTTCAAACCTATGATTGCTTGGATAAAAACCGCAATTTTTATACGTGTGCATGTAAAACAAATTTCTTGGTAGAGGGGTCTAAATACAGCACAATGAATGTCTCTTCAGTGATGTTAGGGATCGAAACGGTATTTGGAAAGCCATACAATTTACCTCAATTTAGGATATATATATATATATATATATATATACAGAATGTATTTTCAGCCTTGTATCACCATCACTGCTGGTGATCCGATGGATAAAATCTGTTGTAGAGTCGTCACTGGTTCAGACGTACTTATATATATATATAACTTGAAATTGGGTTGCCTGACGGACTTTGAGTCCGTTTTCCTTCAATTGTTTTTCCTGTTAACTGTGTTGATCTATATATTTTGATGTCTGACTTGTTTTTTAGTACTGTTGATTTTGGCAAATCCATGGTCATTTATTTTTTTTATATAAAAACTTGTTGTTATTATGAATCATCGTTTGAAACGAAATTTGCGGGGTGGTAGTATTGTATGACTCGGGGTTGCAGCTTCAAATCATCGATAAACAAACGACCAACGTAAATTAAAATGGGAATTTTGTGTTTGTAAATTGGTTAGGACAAAGTCCTATATTGCTCGGAAGGAACTGATCTTTTATCAATTTATCGTAATCGAAGGATGCGCGATTTTTGAAGTTAAACTTTTTGTTCTGACCATTGCCGTATATTGTTATAAAATAAATCATTATTTAGGTACCAGACTTATTGTCAGCCTCCAAGACAAGACTTCTTTGTTTAAAAGTTTCTATTGCCTCACATTGTTATGTGTCTCTTGCTGTGATAGATTTCGTACATAGCCAATACCCCGCAGATTGCATTCCACAAATTTAAACTTAATCACAAACATTTCGAAAGTGACTATTTACAAACTGGTTCTACTTATACGATATATTGATTTACAATAAATAAGATACTCTCAAATTGCATTTTGGTTTTGCACCTACTAATGTAAGTGACAACAACGCTGTCGTTGTTTGTTTTGTTCTATGCTAAAATATTCAAATCTGAGATCACACATTCAATTACGTTATTACTAAAATCTTCTACTGAAGGAACGATCGTAAATAAACACTATTCAACAAAAGCAACATTGATTAAGTATACTTTTTTGTTGTTCACTTAAGGTATCTAGTGTGTTTCGATACTGTTTACTATTTTTTATAATTTTTCTATTTGTGGTCTTTATTATTTGTTCTGAATGTACTTTTTGTCTTTCCATTGATCGAGATTTAAAAGGGGGAGGTGTAGATCACAAACTTGTTCAAACCGGCAACATATACATGTGCTTGTTTTCTTTCAGAAATTTTTATTGCAGAAATTTGATATTTCCTGTTTGATTTATTATAATTTTGCGGTTGGGTTCCTGTATCGTTGACGGATAGCCCACATCTCCATTTAATCATATACATAATATGTCAAATGATATGTATAATATGTCAAATGATATGTATTTGACACATGGAGGTAAAGTAATTTGTCATTTTTAGTTCATTGAAATTTATGATTAAATACTTAAATCGCCTCGTCAGTATATGAGAAACCATTCAATATGAAAAATTTAACATCTTTCTCTAAGTGGTCGTGTCTTCACAAGAATAACATTCAGTAACTGCGAATACTTTAAGATCGGTTGAATAATGTAAGTCAAGTAGAGCATTGAAGTCATACTTAATCAAGTATTCAAACACACCAAAGAGATTTAAATACGTAGATCAATCTACCAAACTTGACTGCAATACATTCAGATTGTTTTTTGTAACAGACCATGTGAAGTAGAACTATGTTATCAGTGTTATCGTATACCACCTGGAGAAGACTAATGTGCACATTGTCATAATTTGTGAGGAACTTGAGATGAACAGACAAAAAATAGACCAATATACATATATGTATACTAGTATATATGAAAAAAAATTCAATGAGGGAAAACATTCATACTGTTGAGAAATAGATTAACAGGTTGTAGTTAAAGTCATACAGAGAGAGAGAGAGAGATCTTACTACTAAGCATTTGTCTTTGGAAAAATATTTGAATTACCTTACTGCAAAGGCATATACGATGTTTTGGATACACAACCCTTCATCGCCTTCAATTAACATCCCCCCCCACACACACACACACACAAAAAGAAAGAAAGAATTAGAAGGCGACAATTTCCGCAATATTCCCCGAGAATCTCTTTTAGATTTGGCGATAGTCTCGGTTTACAGGCAAACCCATTCAGCTAATTAATTTCATTACGGCATTGAAATGACGAAGATTAAAATCATAATTTCAAATTAGAGGCATTTATCTCATTTTAAGACTTATTCTTATTTAAAATGATTATGAAATTAGATATTTAGTAAATAATTATGACCACGAAATACTTTTAAAGGAAAGGTGGGGGGAAATATGGAGTTTCAAAAAGAAAACCATGGTCTTTTTCTTTGCTTATATATAGCCAATGTGTTTAAAGGACATGTTTTGTTATGATAGATAAACGATTGAAATGTGGAGAGGATTGACTCTTACACAGTCACATATTAATGTATCTGTTTGAAGTGAGGACGCACGCCAGTGGTTGCCTTTATCTAAGTATTGAATGATTTCTTTTTGTAATATTATTGGGGTGTAAAAGTGTTGACTGAAGCATATTTTGTATGAAGCGATGAAGCGCTTCATCACTAAAATGTGATCAACTCTTTCCCCATCCTATACAAATTCAAAACGAATAACAGTATTCAATTATTATTTTTACATGTTTATGCTACATGTATAAACACGAAATTATGTATGCATACTAGTTAAATCAATATTTTCGTTTGTTTACCATTCATTCATTGCATGTCGTAACGTTCTCACGTGTAGTCATATGCGTTGCATTTTATTGCAAATAAAATATAATTTTGAAATAGAGAAAATTGGAGTGCTAAAATCAAAAGAATAGAGAATAATAGGCAAAACAAAAACGAAAAGAGACAAATAGCCTAAAACATTATTTAAGAATACAGAATAGAAGATCACCAATCCTGACAAGGAACACAAATATCATTGATTAGTCAAAGTGTTTTACTTAATTTTGTTAATAGTGAACAAAACGGTAAAACATGTTACACAGAGGAACAAGTGATCAGTATGCTGGAGTTTCTTATTGACAACATATTTGTTGAATTTAGAGGTAGACTTTTTCAACAAATTGTCGGCTTTCCTATGGGAACGAACTGTGCGCCTCTCCTTGTCGACCTCTTCTTATTTTCAGACACTTGTCAAAAACAAAAAGATCTAAGAAGCCAGATCATTTGATTTCACATTCAGATATATTGATGATGTTCTTTCCATTAACAATCGAAACGTTTCAGATTGGGTTCCATTAATATATCCCCCAGAGCTAGAAATTAAAGAAACAACAGACACGGCTTCCTCTGCCTCAGTTTTAGACTTATAATTCGAATTTGACATAAGCGGTCATCTCAGTACCAGAATCTATGACAGACGAGACGATTTTAATTTTGAAATTATCAATTTCCCCCACCTTAGTAGCAATATTCCAACCTCACGTCCATATGGGATATACATTTCCTAACTCATTCGGTATTCAAGAGCTTGCAGCTGATACTCAGACTTTACAAAACGTCACCAGTGTCTGAGCAGAAAGTTGATGAACCAGGGTTATGTTACAGAAAGTGTTGTCCTTTTTCTGAAAAAGTTCATCGGAAGATACCAAGACCTTGTTGATATATATTCCGCATCAACATCTCAAATAATACATGATGGTCTTGAAGTTGGTACTGACGTTGTTTATCATCATTCTTTACGTGTTAAAGTGGTCCTATATTTGCCTTTGTAAATGATTTAACTTTACTGTTTAGTCCATTTTTGGTAATATCCTTTTGGCGTGGCTCGGTACTTATGCATCCCGCCATTGGGTATTGTGCTATGGTTATTTTTTGTGTTCTTTTCTTTCATTTTTGCTTATGTGCTTTGTCTATATGGCATTTTGATTTTCTTTGTTGATATTATCGTTTGTTTTTATAGTGATTAAGATTATAACACAATGTTGACTGCTATACCCCTATTTTTGACATTTTTTCCTATTATATCTGTTTGTTTTGTTCACACATTGTTGTCAATATAATGGAATTATATGCGACTGTCATACAAGTGAGAGGTTTAGCTAGCTATAAAACCAGGTTTAATCCACCATTTTCTACATAAGGAAATGCATGTACCAAGTCAGAAATATGACTGTTGTTTTCCATTCGTTTGATGTTGAGCTTTTCATTTTGCCATTTTATAAGGGACTTTCCGTTTTGAATTTCCTTGGAGTTCGGTGTTTTTGTTATATTACTTTTTATCACGATTAAAGAAATTTATTTTGAGAGTATAATTCTATCAACAGGTTTTTTTTTTAAATAGTGATATAGCAGAACTAACTTCTAAAAGTTATATTATTTATAAACCTAACATGCCTAGGAATTGTATGTTTAATACCTTATATAAAAATAAGGAGATTTGATATGATTGCCATAGAGACAACTAACCAACCGAGTTCAAATAACGTGGATATAAGCAATTATAGGTCACCGTATGGCTTCTAAAAGTTTCAATATTTTCACACTAGAATTAAATGGAAATTACCACTGTCACAGTATCCACAAAATGGGAAAAAGAACAAAATAATCGATATATGATGCGGGTGGGAGTAGCTGTCAATATTCGAGAGCTGCTGAAAACAGTTTTGAACTTAACTCGTCCTAACAAGAATATCCGTCTTATTAAACAAAAAGACCATCCGTCTAATTGTGTGTTTCATAACAATTTTTTTTCCGTCTGTGTGAGTATTTATAAACTTATGATCACATATTATGAACTAATTAACACTGCAACCTGAATGATTTCATTTCGTTTTTGTTTACAAATAAACTCAACCGGTGCTAAGGGCCGTCTTAAACTTGCAGTGAGGTGAGAGTTTGTTTTGCTCCGTGTTGAAGACCTTACTGTGACTTTGAGATGAAGAACAGCAATAAAAGCGCTGTTCCTTTGCTTTATTGTTTATATTTTGCTGTACATATACTGATTTTGTGTAATGGATGGATACCCCATACACTTTTTTCTCTATTATATACGTATTTGTGCTGTTTTTAACTGATATGTTTAAGAAAAATGTAGTTAAAATACGTATTGAAATACATTTAATGTGATTATATATCAGGCTAGTGGCAAATAAACAAAGATTAAGAAAAACTTAATACAACAAATGATTTATTTGAGACGATTTATCATTGTTGCGAACATGTGCTCGCAATTCATATAATTTTTTCAAAATTATATTATCAAATAAATATTTTGATCAAATGTTTCAAATCAGTTCCAAAGAATATGTATACAACTGTAATGATATTTAGTAAATTTATGATAAATGAAATAAATATACAAATTTTATTTATCAATTATCCAATGATAAAAGGTTAACGATTTTCCCGAAGATCCACATCTGCAGAGAGCCAAAGGGAAAGGTCAATATCTGGTATTTCGTCACAAAGGATTCTATTGTTCCTACAAAAAAGATCACAATATATAAAATATGTTTAAACTTCATATAATAAACAAATAGGCGCATACATATATGAAAGGACAGAATGATTAAAGAATGTCAGGTACTAATGTTTCTGTGATTAAATGAGACAGCTGAGTTTATGTCTTTTTCTTTATTTCTCTTGTATTCAATGGAAAATACATTTACTAAATCAGTAATATGATAGTTGTTTTTCATTCTTTCGTTGGTTGAAATAGTCGAGTATTTGGGTTTTTTTCAGGTTTTATGGACTTTCCTTTTTTTATTTACCTTGCAGTTCGATAATTTTGTTAATAATTTTATTTCCTGACACATCAATACAAAAACATCCCAGACAGAGTTTTCCTTTATGGTATGTTTTGTCAGAAAAAAATGTAATAATTCCTGATCGGTCTTAATTTTGTACCTTAGTCTTATTGAAGCATTTAAGCAGATGGCTTCAATATATAAGTGTTTGTGTTCTCGTTCTATTCCAATGCACGAATTTATTCATGTTTGTATTAATTATAGTAATTTTATTATTCAAATGGAATGAGTCATTTTAACATTAATAAAAGATGCTATACATTAGATTTGTGATGTTTGCACCGTATGAATATTCACCAAACTTGATGTTAACGGGTTCTTTGTATGTTTAACATGACCATGATAACTACAATATTTACTTACCCTTTTCTATTAGGAAGGAGGAACATATTATCTTGTATTTTATTAATACCGAGGTTACGACAAAATATTTTTGATATGCGTGTGTTTTCCTTTATAGATTTAAGTTGCGCTGAAAATAAATATGTTTTACAATTATATTTTACACGAGTAAGTTAGATAACATTTGGTGTTTGTGCTCACTGTTTATGAAAACGGTATCAATGACACTTGGAAAAGGATAACAAGTACTATATATATATTGGATTGTAGAACAGACAACACAATCATCGACTCTTCAACAAAGTAAAATCGTTTTTGAAAAATTACTTTATTTTATAACAAGTAATTTACAACGATTTTTTTTCATAATCACAACTGGAAGCAAAGTGAATCAAGAATCTCTACATTCTTCGGATGGACTTCAAAGAAGGTTGTTCAGTATCGGTTACTGTATTGTTTTTAACAAGCACACTGAATGATGCTAATTTCAGATACACATGTTAGTTGTTTTAAAATGCCTTAACTTGAATATTATTCCAGTGTGTTTGAGAACGTGAAAGCTGGTAAATGAGAAGCGAAATATACCAGAGGGACGTTCAAACTTATAAGTCGAAACTGACAACGCCATGGCTGAAAAAGAAAAAGACAAACAGACAAACAATAGTACACAAAACACAACATACAAAACTAAATTCTGAGTAACACGAACCCCACCAAAAACTGGGGATGATCTCAGGTGCTCCGATCTCAGATCAGGATTTTATGGATTTGTTAAAGTGAAAAGTGATATTTAAAAAGCATTGTATATGCATGATAGTCTTATGATTAGTACAAATGACAGATATAATTACACAATTACACTTTAAATAGTGTACCTTGCTTTGTTCACAGAATACGTAGGTGTGTTGGTTTAATTTCCGTCAAATGTGTGTCTTCTAAAAACCTTCTAAGATTATGTTCCACTGAATAACGATTGTCAAAAGTTAAACAATTTGTAATTGTTCACATTTAATAATATTTTCTAAGCTTGTAGCACATTCCTACTGTTAAGTAACATGTATTGATTTCATTTTCATTTTCTTGAGCTTCATTTTGTCTTTATACCAGTTTACGACTCAAAATCAATTCAAAAAATGTAATTATAAGATATCATTGAACGATGCAATATTTCAAGAATGAAAAAGTCAATCAAAACACAAAACAATAAAATATGAATTGATACAATAGACGCTAGGAGAAGATATATGATTTATAGTTTACTTACGTATTGAACATGTTGAGCCAATAAGACATACATATATCACTTTGTAATGGGATATGAAATGAATGTTCAATTGTTATTTCTTTATTAGATTTGTTTCAGTCAAAGGGGAGATAATGCAATTTAAAACCATTTCGCCAATAACAAATTCATTATAAGTCGGATGAATATATCGAATACTAAGTATGCATAACTTATAATGCTTCTCCGGGCGTTTACATTTACAGGCACTTGAAAAACTGCCATATCTTGTATTTCTGATGACCATAGCAATGTAAGTTTTGGGAAATCATTGAGAAAAGCGATTGGGTTTACCTTCTGTAAAGGAAAACATCTCACATGGCCGTTCGTACCAGAACCTGTCGCCACATTTGATCCGTTGATATTGCATTCCCAACAAACACTGGAACGTAGGTCCAACATTGAAACGTGCGTCTTTTTCTAGCATAGCGCCAATGAATAAATCTACGTCATCGGGTTCACTGAAAACAAATAAAGTTTATACAACAGAAATATCAAGTTGGTATCCTAATGAAATGCTACACAAAATCAAGAGAATGTTCACATTATAGAATTTTTACCAAATTGGTTTTGAAATTTCTCAGGGTTTAACCGTTTTGTGACAAATGCTATCTCTAAATTAAACCAGTCGGAACTCCAGAAAAGCTGCGTATTTGCGTGATTACGGAATAAAAACAATTGAAACCCAAATCAGTTGACAATTGCAGCGTTCAAAAACCCAATTCATGCAAATGAAAAACCCAATCATATGTCAAAACTATGCGTTCTCAACCCTTATTGTCGCTTTCGTGTGCGCTATTTACCCTCATCGATAAATTGTTGTCGCGTAAATATGTTTTTGTAATATTAGAAAATCAGAGTTAGGAAATCTACTTTCGTTCTTAAAATAGAGCGTTACATCAAATATCTGATCTAAGTCCCTGTTGGAATGAATTGTCCGTTACTCAAAACTGTATCCCCGGTAAACATAATGGACCAGTTTATGTAATTGGCAGATTAAAGCACCGCTAGTAATAATTATTTGACAACAGACTGCTGTGCGGAAGCACACAAGTATGTAAGTCACATTTATTTATCAATTCCTTAATGGAATAGGCGACAACTCCGAATAAATGTGACATTTTAGACGAAACCATCGACGGTGTCCTTTCTTCCTTCGATGAAAATACTACTTAGTATAAGCAAAGACACACAGTGTCAGATAAGACATTCTTCACCTGGAAAGGAAAGAACCCATGGCTAAATAAAATCGATTAGACGAGAGTCTCATATATATATTGCTCTAAATGTAAGTCTTTGACATGACATTGAGGTAACAAAATTACAACACATACAAGTGTTTGGGACCACAAAGGGACTCCAAATATTCAGCTGTCAGCAGTAACAAGAAACAATGAGTAGTCTGAACAAATGAATATCATTAATTGCCAAAGTTGCCTCTGATATCACAGGCACTTGTTTTTATCCATGGGAAGATCCACTATCAACGTATATTCTCGTAAATATATGTTGATAGTGGATCTTCCCATGGATAGGAATTCATGCCCATGTCTGATATGCTGATATTGAATGTGATGAAATGAAAAAATCTGACCCACATTTCACTCTTATAAATCATGACAATATTTTGTTCAAAACTAGTTACATACTTTGAATTGTACTATGACCCCAAACAAATGTGCTATAGAAAGGTAATCAGTTACTGCCCCACAAGTAACATCAGTTTATATATATTGACAGAAAATATAAAACTGGCAAAACTGTTGAAACAAACCAGACACTTATTAAAAAAAACAAAAAATGCTCGTCAGTGTTTAATCCAAATAAAACGGCTGTCACATGCATACTTGAAAGAAACATATTTAAGATAACAGTGGTGGAACATCTTTGTTTGATATGATCATTACATTATGACATGCCTCATTTCACTATTTAGATGATGAAAAAAACAAATACATTCATGAGCTTAGTGGTGAAAAAAACAGTTTGATATTTGCTTGAGGGGTGAATTAGAACTAATAACGTAATTTAAAAAAACTATTTCACTAAATTAAATCAAAATTAGTGGGTAAAAACCCCAATTTGTGAATTCTTATCTGGAGCTCTGAACCTTGTGAAACAGTCCGGAGGAAATTTCGCAAAAAGGATTTTTCTTTTTTTTTGGTATGTCATGGAATTTGGTAATATGATGTGTGCACCTCCAGTGTGTCTTTTTCGTCATTTTCTTTATAATGTAACTTGCGTAGAAAAGCATTTTTCTTTAAAGATATAAAAGGATGCATATCAAGAGAGGAAGAATACCAAAAGGACATTCAACTCAAAAGTCGAAAATAAACTGACAACTACTTGGCTAAAAAAAGAAAAGTTAAACAGATAGGTAACAGTACACAAAACAACATAGAAAAGCAAAGACTAAGCAATACGAATCCCACCAAAAACTAGGGCCGATCTCAGCTACTCCGGAAGGGTAAGCAGATCCTGCGCCATATGTGGCATCCGTCGTGTTACGCATGTAAGTAAAACCCAGTGATATGTCTAATTCGGTGGGTCACATTCGGGTGAAAGAGGACGAGATTGTAGTTACGACAATTGGAACATATCCGTCGTCATCTGTGAAACGGATATTCCATAACGGTCAACCAACCCGTCATGGTGTCCGTAAGATTTACCAAGGGATGATTTGAACTTCCCCACTTGGAACTCTTGGTTCAATAGCTTCCTTGTGAGCAGCAACCCTCTATCAAGGAAATCATGCTAGGAAACAAAACCTTGGAATATCGTTACCACTGGGAGATGTAAACTCCGCTGATATGTTGCTACATAGAAATGGAAAGTTCACAATTGGGAAGCTGAAATCATCTCTTTTGTTTTTTTCTCAACCGACCCTCATTGTCAATGTTTGATTTTAAATTGTTTAATACACTTAAACAAAATATTTTTTTACACAGTAAAGGATAAGAAATAGCCTTAACAGGTATCGCTTTGACGCAAAAGAGGAATTATTGTATTTTAGACTTTTTTACCGTAAGATTTCTCGGTACTAGTTGGTTTTTCAATGTCTTTAAGTATTGGCAATAAGATGTAGAAAAGAATAACATGAATAAAATGGAAAAAGTAGTTCCTTTTGTGCTTTCCCATGCAACAGTTTTATTTGTTTTAAACCCACGTGTTTCCTATGTCTATAATGATATGAATTTCAAGAGTTGCCTCCCGTTACCATGGATTTGACTATTCGGAAATAAAAATTAATTGTAGTTTACATTAACATTTAAGTACCCTTTCATTAAGAACAATGTGGTGGTTCAAATTTTGTACAAGCTATATTTTCATCAGATAACAGTAACACAAACGAAAATTAAGTTGATTTCACCCAATTATGGAATTACAAAACTGTACGTTTATGCCAAAACATTGACTGAAATTAGACAAAACAAAAATAGGTACCAAGGCTATTAGACGATCTACAAAAAAAAAACAAACGAAACATAATATAAAACATAATATATGTAACAAAAAAATAATAATGGACATTATATTCAGTTCATAGATATAAGAAGATGTGGTATGAGTGCCAATGAGACAACTCTCCATCCAAGTCAAAATTTATAAAAGTAAACCATTATAGGTCACAGTACGGTCTTCAACACGGAGCCTTGGCTCACACCGAACAGTAAGCTATAAAGGGCCCCAAAAATTACTAGTGTAAAACCATTCAAACGGGAAAACCAACGGTCTAATCTATATAAAAAACGAGAAACGAGAAACACTTATGAACCACATCAACAAACGACAACTACTGAACATCAGATTCCTGACTTAGGACAGGTGCAAACAAATGCAGCGGGTTTAAACGTTTTAATGGTACCAAACCTTCACCCTTTTTCTGAAACAATAGTGTATTATCACAACATAGAAAGACACACTATAAAATATCAACTGAAATAGCTTAACTCAATCAAAGGACATATTAACACCAGTGAACATACACTGAACAAATAAATTGGACCTATGATACAATGTAAATACAAAATAAATACACTAAGGGAAGAATAATAAAAGTAACATGTTATATCGGTATGAAATGTTAAACAATTTAAGGAAAACAATATGTTCGAACAAAAATATCAGCCATTTGCAATAACTTTAAACACAGGTAAATGAAAATAATTTGTTGTTAGGTATACGTGTACAGTTCCAATAGAGAAAGGAAATATTTTTACAAAATAAATAATTTTTGATGTTCATAGTACGAAGTGAAAATTTATAGTAATAACAAACACTTATCAAAGCTGGTATAAAGACCAGATATAACCCTGAATAACATTAAATAACAAAAAAGCATTACAATAAGTATCAACAGGTCAAATAAACAAGAAAGTACGATTTGAGAGTACTCGCAGTTACTGACATGCTTACTTGTATAATTCCTTAAGTGCGTTCCCAAACTTTCCAAATTTGTTAAATGATCTGATAGGTTCGAGGCCACATATTTCCCGCCATGTGTTGTATCCCGAAACTCCCTGTTCCCTCCCTCTCTGTATGTTCCTGGCGACAATATCAGATCCCGGTGCTTCTGGTAAACGAAATAAAAAGTTACGCATCCCATCGACAATGAAGCTGCAATGGAAAACTACAATATGATATTGTTATTTACCCACTTGGAAAAGTGAGTGTACTTATAAGAAACGTAATCGTCTCTACCTACGAATCATACTGGCACCAAAAAAACTACTAAAACTAATGTTTATAGAATGTTCATATTTTTTATTTCGCGGATGGAAGTAATTCTAAAATTCAAATCAGCGGTGTGCAACTGTATTTCACAACTCGAGCATGTCTGGTGATTATTTTATTAACATGTGTCGTCATGCACATTGAAATCCATATCGCACACTTAAAAATTGTATTCCGACAATCTCCGGCCATTATTAATGTCTAGTATAGGACAAATTTGAAATAAATCAAACAAAAGGACAAATTTTAAATATAAAAACCAAAGGGCAAAATATACCAAAACACTGAAACATATATTTTTAGTATAAATTTAGGTTATCAGTGTTGTTGTTTAAACGAGTGCTTTGTTCTGACTACTCTTAAATGATTTATTTATGCCGAGTTAAATTTCCGCAATTTGCAATTCATAAAATCAAACTGATCATAGAAAATTTATTTTCGCAATTTCCTTATCCTAGATATGAAATTTCTTAAAAATAAAAAGTTGTGCAATGTTTTTGCAATTTCAATTTAAAGAAAAACCCCGCTCAAAAATATCCTGGCGTAATCTTACTTGTCAATCTTGTTACTGGCTGTACAAGCTAAATGTCTTGCTAGAAATGGAATATTTGCACCATTGTTTTGTTGAACAAGTCGCGGACTATCAAACGTGTCTTTTAAATAATTGACAGTAACTGTGTTGCAACCTTCGTCCACGAAGTTTTGCTTGTTTGTAAGTTGAGAGTGACCATAGCGATGTGCTGCAACGTTGACCGAATCAATTATTTGTGGATTGACGTACGGGTCATATGAATCATCAAATACACCATCGTCAACATCTCGCGAGAATAACTTAAATTTGTTCATTGTCGCCCGACCAAGAATTAAAGGCAGAAAGTCGTTAAATGTGATATGTTGAAGCATAGCTATAATTATTTTTCGGGCTTCCTGGAAAACAGTATCGTGATTCCAATGTGGGTTTAGTATGTGCAGTTCTGTAGCAATACGGTTATGCTCCCTAAGCCAAACTGAATGCTGAACACTAAGCATTGGCGACTCCGATACTCGACTGTCACCTGAAATGAAGTTGTTAAGTAATGTTTTAGAAATTTATAGTAAAAGTTGAATGCATATATCCAGCAATTTTCAATACTATGGAATAGGGTAGAGATAATTTCGATATCAATTTTATTTCGACTAAACGATAGAAGTTGACAAAAATTACTGAAATTAGATGTTGGTACACATACTTTGTATAACTTTCACGTGCTAGTTATATTAAGCTAGCAAATATCTTATATAACGTTTTAAATTTTTTAAATTGTAATTGGTACCTGCAACTGGACATCTGTTTGGTTTTATCGGATCAAAACAAGAATTCACTCCAGCTGGTGTTGGTAATAGGTTGTCATCGGTTTTCAGCAAAACTGAAATGGATATTGAGTAAAAAGATTCAAATAAAGAGATGATTTATCTCTATGAAATTATTAAATATATGCATACAGTAAGTAGATATATTATCAAACACAACCAAATGAATTTTAGTCTAAAAATATATATACATTGTATAAAACTGGGAACGCTTTCACTTATCGCAACATTAAACTATGCATCGTTAAGATTGTAGAAGTATTTTCTTTGCCGTTAAGAAATTTAGAGATGTTGGATAAAGCATTTTTATGTAGCAACATTCCAGCAGCGCCTGCTTACGGAGTATATATCTACCAGTAGATACCGATTTAGACTTATTACCGGGTTTGTACTAACAACCCAAGTTTTTGGTGGGGTTCGTGTTGCTTAGTCTTCGGTTTTCTATGTTGTGTCATCTGTACTATTATTTGTCTGTTTGTCTTTTTATTTTTGGCCATGGCGTTGTCAGTTTGTTTTCGATCTATGAGTTTGACTGTCCCTCTGGTATCTTTCGTCCCTCTTTTATCTCCGAATTTGTTCTTACGTGATCAATACGACTTATGCCACATGTGAATATGGATCCTTACATCAACTATTTTGTGGGGTTGCTAAGTCGTCAGTTTTCTATGTTGTGTTTTGTAGAGTGTTGTCTTTTCATCGATTTTCGTTTTGTTTTTTTTTTCTGCCAAAGCGTTGTCCATTTGTCTTCGAATTATGAGTTCTAATGTCCTTTTGGTGTCTTCCAAACTCAAAATGTGTGTAACTTTTGGCTAAGGCCATCTATGCTGGAAATTAGAAAATTAATACTCAGTATTTGAAATGGTCTTTGAATTTTATTAGTAAAGAAAGAATCGATGACTTTTCGTGTTGTCACTGGAGTATATATTTACAATAAAACACTCACAGCTGTTAGGAACACGCAAAATCTCGTTCAACTCTTGAGTACTTCCATATACAGTGCTGGCATCTACGAAGGGTGTTGCAAGGTTTATCTGTTGTCTTACTGCAATATTTATAAAACGCATGAGGAAAAGAAGGAAACCTGTTGGATTTCCTATTGGAACTACCAAAACAGTGATTGAAAGGAAAATAAAATCTGACAGGCATCATTTTGCCGTCTGGGTGCTCTCTTTTAATCTCTAATTTCTTATCATAAATAGGAATAGCTTGATTTGTTTTATCTGTGGATTTTTGTGTGAACTATTACGTCTTCACATACGGAATTAAAACACCAAAATTGAAATTCTTAAGGGCACTTAAAGATATTTGCCAAATGTCAACTAAGTTACTCCCCAACCCTATTTAAACGAAAATTAAAAAAAACTTTGAGTTTGAGGATTATTTAACTGAACTTCTATCTTAATCACCCACTCAATGTCAAAAGTAGCCGTTTTTTTTATTTTGCCAAGAAAACTTTTCCTTATCAAAATTAAATGACGCAAAACAAAAATACTTTATTCTTTTCATTATGCCACATGTAAAGAACAATAAAGCTACAAAAAAACAAGGGAGAAAATCGCGAATATCTACTTTGAAATAAGAATTGTCGAATGCGCATCCGGTGCTGTATATTTGGTACCGTTAATGTTATTTTACACAACAATACATCATTTGATTTTGATTTCACGCTTTGTTGCTTGTCTATAAGTTGAAAAGTAAGTGTTATACGCAGATATTGAATAGTTTTATCCAATTATTTAATTGCCAAAAGTCAAATGTCATATGTGTATGTTTAATAAATTTACGCCAATAACAACGATGAAAATATTTTGAGAATTCGTCCTGAACATGCATGAAATATTTGCTACTGGACGTGACGCAACCAACAATCAATTATCCTTTCAGAACTGGCTAGACAAGAGCTGAGACAATGGTACTTTAACCGATTTTCCTTACCTCCATCTGCATCCATTCTTGGTGTGGCTCTTACAAAATTAAGACACCCAGGTGGTAACACCTTATCATTACCGCGAATTTCAAGAGGAAAGCAGAAATTGATACTGAAAGTAAGAACATACAAGATATTATTGGTTCTTGTTTAAGGTATTTTAGTATAAGGCAGATTTCCTCTATCAAATAATAACGAAAATTGAATGCATATAAAAGATACAGAATAATCAACGACATAAAACATTAAATTATACGCAATACGAACACTTTACTTATTTCTAGCGTACAAAGCGCTTTTCGTGAATTATCAACAATTTGAAAGTCAATGACGAATAAGACCTGAACACATGAAACACTATACGACCAAAACTGAAGGACCTTAAACTCTTGGTAAGGTTCGTGAGATGGTACTTTGATAGGCACTGCAGTTCCCTTCTTTAGCTCATGGATTCACTCCCAAGTCTTTCTGTGGGTTGTTGTTGCTCATTTCTGAATTGTTTGTGTAGTTTTACGGACTGTCTCTTTCGGGTTTTTTAATGCTTTGCCAATATGCTATTGTTTTTCTTCGTCCTTTTCGTTTTTGTCCTTAATGTATCATTTGATTTTTTTATATATTTTTTTGCCTGGTTATAACACTATTCTGTTTAGAGGGAAGAGGAGGGGTTCTGTAACAATGTAATCAAAATGCCACTTATCGTGTCCAAATGCCAGATCAATAAATAATCATATAACATGTTTATAGTAAAAAAAAAAAGAATAATTCATACGCAAAGTTAATAAGAACGCAAGGAAAAAAGCGTTTTACACATGCAATAAATGCTATTTAAACATACTTATCCATTTGAGGATTTTCACAGCAGTCATTTTCAGGAAATGCTACGAAAATAAAAAGTTTTAGATAAATAGAAATCTTCTGTAAGAGCATTTGATTAAAAAAAAAAATAACAAGTTACGAATTTCGTGCATCCGGAGCGATTTTCTAGATTTACCGTCAACGCTAAAACCTAAACATTTGAAAGCCACAGATGTATAAATACGTAGAATCGTCGGGAACATTATGACCAATATGTACCTAAAAAGCACAGCCAGTTTATAAATGGGAGTCATACCCGTTTGTTATAGAAGATTTTGTGTATTCGTTTAGTGAAAACAACAACTACACACAAAAATAAACACATCTATAACAATAGAACTTATTGTTTAAAGAATAAAATCAAATGAAATAAATTTCAAGATAATTATTTGAAAAATAACAGCTTTTTCAAAGATAATTGGTATTGAACGTTATCGGTGTTCCCACTGTCTATACCACTCTATTGAGCTCTTCACAAAATTGCTTCTTACGTCTTTGTTACGTCAAATACGTTAACCAGACCTTAATAACTTTGACCCGGACATATCACCGACGTCATAATGAATGAACCGACGTTGATAAGTTTGACACGATATTATCAAGTCATCTCCCGGTTTGCTGATGAAACAAAGAAAACACTTGTTTCTATCATGCAAGATACACAAAAACAATCGATTATCAGATTTTCATTATATTTATATTGTAAAATGTCAGCTGCTTGACACAATATGAAGCCTTTTAGAACTCGTTCGCTGCAATAACTCGACAAAAAGCTTCATATTGTGACTCGCAGCTGATATTTTACAATATCAATATGCATACAACCTTAAAATCCAAACATTTGTGTCACTTACTAGAAAATCTCAAAAACACGAAAGAGAGGCAGAAAATGCCAAAGGGATATTCAAACTCATAAGTCGAAGACAAAACGTCAACACCATAGCAAAAAATGAAAAACGACCAAAAGACAAACAACAGTCTATGAATCACAACATAGCAAACTAAAGACTGTGCAACACAAGCACTATCAAAAACTTACAGGGTAGGTCTCGGGTGCTCCGTCAGGATAAGTGATCATTAAGACCAAAATAGGCTAAAAAGAACATCCAATGACGTTTGAACTCAGATATATCAGTGGAATTTTGAAAATGATTTCAAGTATACAATTTATTTTACAAAGTTTACCCCATGAAATTGAAAGAAAATAGTTTTATTTACCAATATTAACATGTCAGTACCTATACAACGCGTTTACATGTTTATATCTCAACAAACTGGTAGTTACTTTTCAAATGTTTTTAAATTAATCATTATTTTTTAAACATTTTGGATTTCGAGTTTAAAAAACATTAATCGAAATAGCTGCTTGTCTCTCTTCAAACATAATAGCAAAATGATATCGATGGCTAGGTAATTATCCGTGAAAAAATGTAAACGTTTGAAATAAAAAGAAAAAAATCGAGGCTTGTCATTAAAAATTTGCGATAAAACAACATGATGATACCTATAGATCTATTATAAATTCTTACGTGGTATCTCCGTTTCCATGACCTCGTGGGATAAAAATTGGCCATATGATACAACTTGTCCAGATCTGATTCTATCACTCTGTATTGGTGGTCCTAATCCTTGGTCCATTATTGCTTGTGATACCAAACGGGCGTTGGGTAATTTATCACCACGTTTTGCTTCTCGTGGTAATCCTTTACCTAAAATATGAACGATTCTAAAATACGTATTTCGGAAATTTGGATAACAGTATTGATTTTTTTGGAAGGTTATGATGGGAATGACAACTAAATCGTGTTATGAAGCAATTGATCTATAATTCATACATACTGCCAAGGTACTAGTAATACATTCTTAATGTTTTGCTCAAAAACATATCGTGTAAAATTTTGGGACCTTAGGACAATCAGCAATTCAGCAAGTATTTCATATTCTGACAAGGAATAAAAGTCATTAACACAGGTACAATATGGGAAAAAGAATACAAAGTTATCCTGATTTCAAATGATAGATAAACAACATAAATTATTCATTACATTTTGGGCATATGAAATGGTTGATCATTTAGTAAAACATCGGGAACAATGATTGTAACAACATACAATTGATCAGGATACTCTATGTCTATAGCAAAACGTTTGGAACGACAATCAATTAATGGAATTTGCAAAATAATTTCTACCACTTGACACTTCTCTGGTGACAAATCAACGACTTAAAATATTGTTTTAGAACTGCGAATCATTGTAAAAAGTATCAAAATATGGCTGTTATAATGGAATGTGTTCTGTATTTGAGACATATTGACTGAACTGGCTGAATGATGAAAATGATTATTAAAAAAACTCATTAAAGACGCCAGGCTTAAGATTTAAAACGCCATACTTGAGTTTCGTATACATAGAACTCATCTGTGTTACTGGAAATAAAACAGTTTAAAGGCCAATCAAAAATGAAATTGAAGAGCATTAAAAACGAAATATCTAAAAACTGTATAAGAATTAGGAATGTTGTCCTTACCATCTGCATAGTCAAATATTTTGTTCCCATTTCTATCAACACATCTCTCAAACAAAGTGTTAGCTTTTCCACATTCTGGGTTGTTTAGGTTGTTACATGCTCCATCAATCGTTCTATACTTAGCATCAGCATCACACGCTGTGTTTGAAAAAGAGATATAAAAGAAGTTGTTTTAGATGAAGAGTAGAATCGCTCTGTTTATGGAGCACGAGTATGTTAATTTCTTCATTAGTTTGAGTTTCTGTTGCTCAATATTCAGTCTTATGTGGAGTGTTTTTGAATTTGTTTGTCTTTCGTCATATTTTCGTTTTCACTATGGAATTGTATATTTTTCTTCAGTGTGACGGTTATGCAACTTTAATTTTTCCCCCGATTTGTACTCTTATTCAACACTCTATCCCTGTTACATTAGTCACTGAATAACGAGGGAAATCATTCAGTAGAATGAAAAAAACGTTATGTTAATCTTTCAATATGAAATAGATTAACACTTATATTTATATATGTTACCGGATATTGAGACATGTTTTAACCGACGTGTATTTATAACAGATGTGTGCTTTGACGTTGAAGGTATTAAAAAAAATATCGTTGGCCAGCGGAATTTAATTCGTTGAATGATTATTGCATATTATCTCGGATTTAGCAAAAGGTTAAGAAGGTATCCTTTTATTTTTCCTATTATATATGTTACCGAATATTGAGACATTTTTTCACCAACATTTATTTACAAACGATGTGTGCTTTGAACCTGAAGGAATTTAACAAAATATCGTTGGTCAGCGGGATTTAAAACGTTGAATGATTATTGCATATTATCTCGGATTTAGCAAAAGGTTAAGAAGGTATCCTTTTATTTTTCCTATTATATATTTTACCGAATATTGAGACATGTTTTCACCGACGTGTATTTATAAACGATGTGTGCTTTGAACCTGAAGGTATTTAACAAAATATCGTTGGTCAGCGGGATTTAAAACGTTAAATGATTATTGCATATTATCTCGGATTTAGCAAAAGGTTTAGAAGGTATCCTTTTATTTTTCCTATTATATATGTTACCGAATATTAAGACATGTTTTCATCAACATTTATTTACAAACGATATGTGCTTTGAACCTGAAGGTATTTAACACAACATCGTTGGTCAGCGGGATTTAAAACGTTGAAAGATTATTGCATATTATCTCGGATTTAGCAAAAGGTTGAGAAGGTATCATTTTATTTTTCCTATTATATATGTTACCGAATATTGAGACATGTTTTCATCAACATTTATTTACAAACGATATGTCCTTTGAACCTGAAGGTATTTAACACAATATCGTTGGTCAGCGGGATTTAAAACATCGAATGATTATTGCATATTATCTCGGATTTAGTAAAAGGTTTAAAAGGTGTCCTTTTATTTTTCCTGTTATATATGTTACCGAATATTGAGACATGTTTTCACCAACATTTATTTACAAACGATATGTGCTTTGAACCTGAAGGTATTTAACACAATGTCGTTGGTCAGCGGGATTTAAAACGTTGAATGATTATTGCATAATATCTAGGATTAAGCAAAAGGTTTAGAAGGTATCCTTTTATTTTTCATAGTATATATGTTACCGAATATTTAGACATGTTTTCACCAACATTTAATTACTATTGCTTTTAACCGGAAGGTATTAAACACAATGTCGTTGGTCAGCGGGATTTAAAACGTTGAATGATAATTGCATATTATCTTGGATTTAGCAAAAGGTTTAGAAGGTATCCTTTTATTTTTCCTATTAAATATGTTACCGAATATTGAGACATGTTTTTACCAACATTTATTTACAAACGATATGTGCTTTGAACCTGAAGGTATTTAACACAATATCGTTGGTCAGCGGGATTTAAAACGTTGAATGAGTATTGCATAATATCTGGGATTAAGCAAAAGGTTTAGAAGGTATCCTTTTATTTTTCCTATTATATATGTTACCGAATATTTAGACATGTTTTCACCAACATTTAATTAAAATTGCTTTTAACCCAAAGGTATTTAACACAATGTCGTTGGTCAGTGGGATTTAAAACGTTTAATGATTATTGCATATTATCTCGGATTTAGCAAAAGGTTTAGAAGGTATCCTTTTATTTTTCCTATTATATATGTTACCGAATATTGAGACATGTTTTCACCAACATTTAGTTACAAACGATGTGTGCTTTGAACCTGAAGGTATTTAACACAATATCGTTTGGTCAGCGGGATTTAAAACGTTAAATGATTATTGCATAATATCTAGGATTAAGCAAAAGGTTTAGAAGGTATCCTTTTATTTTTCCTATTATATATGTTACCGAATATTGAGACATGTTTTCACCAACATTTATTTACAAATGGTGTGTGCTTTTAACCTGAAGGTATTTAACACAATATCGTTTGTCAGCGGGATTTAAAACATGGAATGATTATATGTAATATCAAAGGATTTAGCAAAAGATAAATTCGTTACACAGTGTGCTAGTGACCTAATACGATATGGAATTTACTGACCCCGTATAATCGTATTAGGTCACTAACACACTATGTAACTAATAATCCAAAACGATAAAATTATCAGGGACTGAAATAGCTGTCTAGTAAAGCAGTGAATCATGATTCAAGTAAAGGGATTGTAAACGTATAAATGTGACAGATGTTTAACATGTTTTACTAAATTTGAATGTTGCTTATATCTGTCATTTTGAAATTTATGTAACACAGTTAGGAAAATACTTAAAATATCTACTTTGTTCTCTTTTTGATTAGATCCATAGTATGCTTTACATGTAGAAAATGATAAATAAAAATGAGAGAGTAAGGCTTGTTTTACTGTTTAGTGTATTTTACTAAGCATTTTAGATTCACAACATGAAGGCCTATGTTACTGCAAAAAAGTATTGCTTTTAACCTACTTTAAATATTCTTATGTATGATGTTAGTAAAAAATGTCCATTATCTTCAGTTACATGACACTGAATATAAATTCTTATCTGTATTATTCCATTTCAATTGTAAGTCTTATCACATTTTGTGAATAAACTCAGCATAGATACTAGTATTAGACTTGTGTACGGCAGAAGCTCGTTTCGTCTACAAAAGACTCATCATTGACGCTCGAATCAAAAAAGTTAAAAGGCCAAATAAAATACGAAGTTGAAGAGCATTGAGGATCCGACATTCCAAAAGGTTTTACCACATACAGCTTAATATGTAATATATTCCTGGGATAGAAATTCCTTAGGTTTTGTGATGCTGAAATATGCCAAGAATCACATTTTCTTGTTTCGCTGATGAGTTTATATTCATATATGTAAAGTAAATGTTTATTAACGTCATTTTGATAACGAAATAATTCTTTCCGCTCAGCTTAACATGTGTAGGCATAATAGTTTAGATTATCTTTACACATTTACACAACCTATGCACGGGGTAAGATGTTGACAAATATGATGCCTACACATCTGTCCGTATTAAAACATTGTAAAATTGTCATAGATCATGTATCGAATAAATGTTTTCGATTCTAATAGGAAAATTCAGATCTTTTAACATTCGATGTCGGCCTATTAGACACATTACAGAGCAGCCATTTTGAATGAAGCATAAACGTTCTTAAGTTACAAAGAAATATTTGCCATGGCGTTGTTAGTTTCTATTCGACTTATGAGTTTGAATGTCCCTTTGTTATCTTTCGTCTCTCTTTAACGATATACAATAGTGTACTATGTTGAATATTGTATTTAACTCCTACAGAAATGTATGTTTTGATCTTCAGCGAATTCAAAATTACAACTGATGTTGCAAATTTAATATCCATGGTGACGTCAAGCACGTGCATCCCTTGTTTAATTGAAATAAGAAAAGGACTTAGGTTACAAAGAAAAATAAGAGCGTCGATTTAGAATTATTATTTTGACCTCCTGGTGACCTTCTAATTCCTCGTGTTGCTATCCTCTTGACCTATTCCCCGAAACTACTTTTATTCATACACGAAAAGGCATTTTTGTTAACGTTTGGTCATTATCGATCAGCTATTAAAATTGCATTTTTGATTATACTTAAATTGAGAATGGAAATGGGGAATGTGTCAAAGAGACAACAACTCGACAGCAGAATACAGCCGAAGGCCACCAATTGGTCTTCAACACAGCGTGAAAATTCCGCACCCGGAGGCGTGCTTCAGCTGGCCCCTAAACAAAAATGTGTATTAGTTCAGTGATAATGGACGTCATACTAAACTCCAAAACATATAAATGAACTAAAATTAAAAATCATACAAGACTTACAAAGGCCAGAGGCTCCTGACTTGGGACAGGCGCAAACATGCGGCGGGGTTAAACATGTTTTGTGAGATCTCACCCCCGCCCCTCCACCCTATACCTCTAGCCAATGTAATAAAAACAAACACACACCAATACGCACAGTAAAACTCAGTTTAAAAGAAGTCTGAGACCGATGTCAGAATAGGTAACAAAGGAAACTAAGCAAAATGACAATGATACATAAATTAACAAAGGACTACTAGCAGTTACTGACATGCCAGCTCCAGACCTCAACTAAACTGATTGAAAGATTATGTCTGCATCATATAAAAACCAAGCACCATTCCTCCCGTTAGGGGGTTTAGTATCATACCATCATAAAATATATGAAAAGAACATAACCCGTATCATACCAACAACTGATTTTAGAATAAATGTGTTTATTTCCGATGCAAAGACCCTATGAGTGAATCAATATTAAAACCAAAATTTGCCATCTTTAATGACCTGACAACAGTATCGTAATTATATCCCTTCTTAATAATTAGATATAGGAAGATGTGGTATGAGTGCCAATGAGACAACTCTCCATCCAAGTTACAATTTATAAAAGTAAACCATTATAGGTCAAGGTACGGCCTTCAACACTGAGCATTGGCTCACACCGAACAGCAAGCTATAAAGGGCCCCAAAAAATCACTAGTGTATACCATTCAAACGGAAAAACCAACGGTCTAATCTATATAAAAACGAGAAACGAGAAACAAGTATGAACTACATAAACAGACGACAACTACTGTTATCAGATTCCTGACTTAGGACAGGTGCAAACATTTGCATTAATAAGTCTGTTTAAAGGTCTGGTTTGCTTTTGAGGGGAATACTAGCATTTATTAAATTTTTTCTGTAATAAATGGTCCGGAGGTGTAGACATATTATAGTGTCAACTACCTACACCCGATCAAGAGAAATACATGTAATTAATTGTTGCTTGTATCAAATCGTGCCACATTTTTAACCCAATAAATATAACACCTAACTTTCTATGTTGTATGTTCCTAACAAGAAATACAATATATGCCTCAACTCACTATCGACATGTTTTCGCATTCTGAGTTCTTAAGTCGTCTAATCTGAAATTTTCTCCATTGTGACCTTTTCTCGATTGTGACCTTTTCTCGATTGTGTCCTTTTCTCGCTTGTGACCTTTTCTCGATTGTGACATTGAACTGAGTGTATATTCGTATGACGGATGTTGTATGAATAGCAGACGTTACCTGCCATGTCGAAGCACACATACATTTTTGCTCCCTTTAAAGTTCGAATTTTGTCTGCTACCTTTATTTGCCTTCGATTAAATTTTATGAAATTTTAACATCGACAAACTACTGTTTCCTTGCCTATTTGATAGTTCCAATTTGCTGAGTTCTGCGATTCTGATTTTTTGCACACCAATGTAACAATAAAGACATGTGGTGTGATTGTAAATGAATAACTATCCAATGAAGTCCAAATAACGTGGGAAAATATTGGTCATCCTACGGCCTTCAACAATTAACAAACCCCATACCGTATGGTCAGCTATAAAGCAATAAAATGAAGAAATGTGAAACAAATATAACGAGTAAACCAACGGCCCGATTTATGTTAAAACAATCAACAATAACGAACATAACAGACAGAAAACAAAATTCAATGAATCATCGGCTCTTGACAATCATATCAAAAAATGAAGGAATTCAACACGTATTTTTGTAATTTTATCTTTCTAGCATCAACAAGATTAACCATTTTGTTTCACCTCAACTTTAATCATTAAATGATATTTTTGCTACCTTAAGGCGGTAGTTAGTATCTTTATATGTGTACTAAAATTGATATAAAATTAGAAAGTCCATTTCAGCATTTTAAATAAAAGTTCACTTATTAACTAAGAACTGAATATTTTGTTACTAATTAGTGATGTTACATTGCAATAAATCAGGTGATGACCATTGATTTTCTTCGGGCCAGGAGAATTCTCAAAATGAATATTCCGTTCTGGTAACAGCTGAAAAAAATAACCTTGCCTGAAACAGGGTGGAAATGGACATTCTGCAACATAAAATACAGGAATAAATCGTATACAAAGGTGCAAAGCCACAGAATAAATAACCATGCGTAGCAACAAATGAAAATGAGGTCGATTCAAAACAAAATCTTCCTGTCCTTAATTTATAAAGAAAGCAGAAAACGACTAACAGTGATGCAAATGTAAGAGATAATCATCGCATCTATTTTCTACTACATGCACATTCAAAATACGAATCAGACAAAAAACCTAACTTTTGCTAAATGACATACCTTGCGAATCTGTCTCTTTTAAAATATATACTAATATAGTAATGCCCAGACTTAATACATTTTTCATTGTGTAATACTTTGATAAATATGTTGTCCCAAAATGAAGAACAGTCTTGGCTTGTTGGACTTTTATACATTTATTTTTTGTATATGCAATCCTAATCACATGATATTCTGACCAATCAGTAAAATTCTTGACACTTCCCTGACATTACGGACGTAAACTGTTCTTGAAAGTACCCTTTTTTATCCAAATGTTATTTTCCTGGTGCATATATGTCCGGTATTTATTTATCTAAACTTTGATTTTTTTTTTTTCTTTTAATATGTGACACCAAAGACTGTCTTGCTTATAACCAGCATGACACATTTATGACAAAGTAAACGGTCATTTAAGAAACTGAATAATAATCGCAAATGGGTTTCTTACCTTAAATTGTTCGTTCGTCTGTCAAAATATAGAAGGCTTCCATTTTGATCAAGGTACCTTTTCTTATTTTACTTCTAAAGTTGTACAAGAGTTGGGTGAGTTCTCCAAAAACAATGTCATATGTTAATATGTGTGTCTGAAGTCAAAATACTCAAGTGTTTGTTTGTGTTCATATCTAAGTTAATATGTCAATTGCAATACATATATTTCGTTTTCTTTGAGATTTGTTCTGGACCTGTAAAGACTCGGGATTATATAAAGTTTAACTATACACACTTGTCTTTTGTTGTTGACCAAATGGTTAACTCTTGTTTTGTCCCATCATATTGTTGGATTAGAGTATCAATAATGTATACCAATCATCTTCATTTTTAAACGTATAAACATAGCATGCAAGAGGGATCTATGCAAAAGTGTCAGTTAAGGTATACTTGAAAAACATGTAAATGAGTTTGATGAGTGTCTGTATGGAGTTTACATAATAGAGAATAATTGGCAAAAAGTGCCGAATAAAGGACAAAAAATAAAAAAGAATCGACAAAATAAGACCAATAAAATAAGAATAGAGAATAATAGGAAAACTAAATAAGATTAAAGAAAACTGACATAAAAAGTTAACGAATAAAGAAATGGAAGACACCCATCCAGACCCTCTTTTATGAAAAAAAAATCATTTGTACCCTTATTATACTTTCAAAACAATAATTCGTCAGAACATATCTTGATAAATAGTCTGTATGTATGCGTGTATGCGTTTATGAATGTGTGTTAAATACAGTAAAGGGATAAAATGAATTAAAACATAAATTGGACAGCACAGCAGATCACATCACAGTGCAACACCTGACTAAGCCGAAAAATAACGCATATACTAACAATCGCCTAACTTTACCATTTTTTTCATGAATACACATTTGTTTTTCTAGACCACAAGTCTTTAAAATAAAACACACAGTATATATATTAACCAACAATATTGCAGTATTGTTTAATGCAATTAAGATTGTCGTTACATATAACCAAACACTAATCGTAACGGATGAATGTTTTGCTGATAAGATGAGTGTATCCTTTTCTAACAACAATGGATCATAACACATTTGTACATTTTTAAAACAAAATCTTCCTTCATTCATTTGTACTAGTTTCCGATTAAAATTATTTACTGTGCATTTGTGATTATAACGATATCTTTATCAATAGGTTGTGTAAATTCAAAAATCCCCTTCTCTACTTTTTCATGCATTTATTTGTACAATCTTTGCTGACTAGAAGATAAATATTTTTTTAATTAATGAAATACCTAACATATTTAATGTTGTAAATTGGAATCTAGTCAAAATTCATAACCTGTAAGAAAGGCAAAACTTAAAAACATAATTATACAAAGAAACATTATAAAAGTGAAGCAACAATAAACTGGACGAGATTTGTGTTAATGATCACGTATTGTACTGGACTACCTTGCACATACAATATAAAATTGATTAGAATTTACTTGTGAGGTGTAATGATAAAAATAAGAAGATAGAACCACCGACTTTCGATAGGAAAACTGACAATCCTTGTCAATTAAGGTTGGAGTCGAGAGTACCTGCCAGTTGCTGGACTCGAACTCACAACCTCAGTGTTTCCACGCTAGTGATACAGTAGTTCAACTACTTAGACAGCGTGGCTCCATTTTAATGGTTGGAATGAGTCCAAATGTCTTAGGTATACGAATCGCGAGTCTGACATACAATGCTATAAGCCTGGTATCTTCAATAAGTTTTTCTACAAAGGGCAACTGGAAAAAAATAAATATGGGAATTTCAGTAATTGCAAGCCCTTTGATAATTATATCATTAGCATTAAAACTTTGAAAAAGTTCAAACCGTTGGCATTTATTTAAAACTTTTAACAGCTTCAATTCAACTATGACTTTTTATAAGTTTTGTGGCAATTTCCAAATTATTACACGTTCTAAATCCTGTGTTTCATGGATGAATATTTGACACATTATTCTTGTATCAGTTACGAAGAAAAATGTTTCAAAACAAAGGAAATCGATTTAAAGTTCCTGACTGTAAATGCTAATCAAGCTGAAATGATCATCTCCTGATTAGGGAATCGTGCCTTTTTATTTGCCTTAATATGCAATAATCTTCTGAGGAGATTGGTACACAATAAAATTGAGAATGGAAATGGGGAATGTGTCAAAGAGACAACAACCCGACCATAGAACAGACAACAGCAGAAGGTCACCAACAGGTCCTCAATGCAGCGAGAAATTCCCGCACCCGGAGGCGTCCTTCAGCTGGCCCCTAAACAAATATATATACTAGTTCAGTGATAATGAACGCCATACTAAACTCCAAATTGTACACAAGAAACTAAAATTAAAAATAATACAAGACTAACAAAGGCTAGAGGCTCCTGACTTGGGACAGGCGCAAAAATGCGGCGGGGTTAAACATGTTTATGAGATCTCAACCCTCCCCCTATACCTCTAGCCAATGTAGAAAAGTAAACGCATAACAATACGCACATTAAAATTCAGTTCAAGAGAAGTCCGAGTCTGATGTCAGAAGATGTAACCAAAGAAAATAAACAAAATGACAATAATACATAAATAACAACAGACTACTAGCAGTTAATGACGTTAGACGTTGTTTAGAAATTCATTGGTATTGAACAGAGTCAATATGTACAGAATTTTGATACAGAAAATACAACATTGACACAAGTGTCTTGCCTTGGGATGTGATAAGTCACACTTTGCAAAAAATCACTCTGTTTCAAACAAAGAAATCTCTGAAACTTAACATTAGCGAGATGTTTGATTTCTTGATTGACAACATATTTGTTGCGGTAGAAGGACGTGATTGCATTGTCAACAAACAATCGACATTCTCATGGAAACCAACTGTGATCCTCTTTTTGCCGACTTGGCTGACTTCATACTGGATCTTCTTAGGAGGAATGAAAAGAAGCTAACATTATCCTTTAACGCCACGTTCCGCTATAAAGATGGTATCATCTCACTTACAATTAAAAGTTAAGTAACTATGTTGAATGCATCTATCCCATCGAACTTTCATCTAGAAATTGGAAATAGGGGTCGTTTGAGGAAAAAAAAACATCACGACAAAACAAATGATGGCAGCTTCCCATTTGTGAACTTTCCATTTCTATGTAGCAATATTCAAGCAGAGCCTACATATGGAGTATTTATCTCCCAGTTGATACGATAATCCAGAACTTGCAATTTCTATCAGGACTTCCTTGATAGAGGGAAGCTTTTGAACCAGGAGTTCAAAGAGGTGTTGTTGAAATCATCCCTTTCAAATTTTTACGGACACCTTCACCAGTTGGTTGATCGTCATAGAATATCTGTTTCACAGATGACTACGTATATTTTCCAATTGTCGTAACAACAATCCTGTTCTCTTTCCTCGACTGTGACCTAACGAATTAGACTGATCACCTGGATTGTACTTACATGCAGTCTTTGTTGTACATCTTAACTGTCGTCACCTTTGAAATTTTAAAAATGTACCAGTTCATATCGCACATTACTATTTTTATTAGAAGCATATCTATGCAGTCTCTGTTGTAAATACCTATATAACCATGTCGTTTTTGAAATTATTTTAGAAATGTACAAGCGTTTTTGTGTTCCGTTTTAATGTATAAAATTCAAGATTGTTATAGTTAAAGCAGAATAGACTGATATGATTCATTTAACATCATAAGCATACTGCTGAAGGATATCTGTTATCCGAAATATTTATAGATAATTACATTTAATGTCTCCTTTTTTATTTTTGGTGTTGTTTTGTACACTTTTTAGGCGTTTGTATATATATATATATATATATATATATATATCAATTCAAGAGATATAATGATCATAAAAAATTGTGAAATAGGTCTATCAAAATGTATAGAATTTACTTTAAAAGAAGCGAAAAAATATACATTTTTATCGATTTATTATTGCGTTTACTCGAAAATACGTCCTCAGAATTTCTATTTAAAAAGAAATATATATGTTATTGCTGTAAACATTTCTGTTTTAATTAAGAATGCTTCATATGAACAATTCATATACTTTGTAATGAACACTCTCTGCTGTAGCGTGTCTGACGTATAAAATTGTAACCATAGTATATTTGGTGAGACATTTCAAAACAAACGGGATTGCTGTCTCATTGACAACAATTACCTGACCGTTCCAGAGAGGCAAGCATGATTGTTGCCTCCTGGACATTAATTGCAGAGCCATTTCAGAATAAACGATAGCTGTTTCGTTGGCCTCTATTTCCAAGTCTTTTGAAAACAAACAGGATTGCCTAAATTATATATTCATCGGCCATTGTCTCATTGATATCAACTTCAGTCTACCGGTATGTTTTTTAAACAACTGCGTTTTCTCATTGGCGTGAACTTCACATCCTTATAAATGCTTGCATCTTTATTAGGTCAGAATTTAGAAATAGAACTAGATTATCTCACATAATTTTTATTTGCCAGATATGTCGATGTTGATATTGAATCAATAAATCTGTTCCTGGAAGGAACAATATTGCCGTTACAGTAAACAACTGCCATGCACCCGCCAAAATAGTCGTTGCTATTTAAAAAATAAAATCACATTTATAGATTAATCTAAAATCTATACCAAAGTCAGAAA